ATCCCTGGCCTCCACACGCGCTATCGCCATGGGCAATGACTCCCATGCCTCCTCTCGCTTGGTGTACCCCAACAGGACATCACACAGTCGATAAACACCCGGTGACACAGTCCCACCATGCGGATGAGGATCACCCGTGGAGAGGTCCCAGAAACTCCTTTCAGCCCTTATGGCCACATTTGTGGCCTAGCTATATTCAGGGCTCCTGCAAAACTAAAAATTGCATCCCACAAGGTGACGGCACAACATGCATGCCTACTCATTGCACAATAGAACACTTTCATTTGGAAAGACAGAAATGTCCCAAAGCAAAAAATTAGAAGATATGTCCGGTTGACTTGGGATAAGACAGAAGGCTGTGGGCAGCCGACTCACACGGTACTGAATATAGGAAGTTTTTATTGTTCTTTCATGGGAATGGCGCTGTTAATAAATGGTTTGGTAGAAATAACTTCAAACGTGTCTAAGAAATCAAAGGGGAAGAAACAAGACTAATCAGAAACTAGCTAGCACAATTAATTTATAGTTACTTCCCTGCTTGTCTTCCGGCGCTTGTTTAAAAATGGCGGAATCCATGAGGAAATTTGTATAAGCAAGTTGTGTTATTTTTGCTCGGAAAAGATTTAGCGCGTTTTAACTGGTAAATGTACAGCTTATGAGGTTTAAAGTTGACTTTATCACTATACATTTTCTCTATTGATAAATCCTGTACGATTTATTTGATTTTAACTAAGACGCGGTTAGATTTGCTTGACATCAGGGTCCGTCTGTCTATTGATTGAATTTATGGTGATTGGTGCCTGCTGTGTACTAGTACTAACAGTAACACTGAACACAACTGTTGTGACCACTTGTCGTTGGGTGGATGCTTGATCATTGAATGAATTCATTCACTTTGATGTTTCACTTCCAGTCAGATGAGTCAGTCATTCCAGCTCGAAGCCTATGCTATATTAATTCTAGAGTTAGGGATTTTAGTCAAAATTTAAAAATTAGGTTTTTTACTTTTAAACCAAGACAGCTGAATAGAGGTTGAAAACCCGAGTCCAACGGTACCTCAATGAAGTCTGTATGTCAATTCTAAGCGGAGATATTCACATTTCAGTGACGGAAAGTTGCCCCAAAATTTTATAATGAATAATGGAAAACACAGAAACAAGATGGCGGCATGTTCCCAAGTGAAAACTGGACCTCAATTTATCATGTTTAATGTCAATAACTCTCAAGTTTTTTGCTGAACCCCTTAGCAACCATATGTCTTTGCTTTCAGGACAGCAGGCTCTGACTAAAATTGTTGCCTTTTAAAAAAAATGATGTGATGCAAACCTAAATAACATAAAATGAGTTTGTTTATCAGGATTGATAACCTTATTTATGAATTAAGTAAATGATTATTATCCAGTGAGTCTTCCAAGACATATACTGTAATATGCATACTTTTGTAACTATTCTTCTTGTTATGATGCATCTCTTCCTATTTGTTTAAAAATGCTTTTTCTTGCACTCTTAATTGTGTGTGTAGTGTTTATACATCTGACCGAAATTTGCTCTATTCCACTGTTAAAAAATGTTCAATAGCGAGTGGATTGACTTCACTGCATCGTTACTGGTTTCATATGGCTTGGTCTTTCTCCACATAACCATGAACGACTAGCCGCATGCCGAGACCTTAGCAGTAAGCCTGAATACCGTAGCTCCAGCAACAGCCTCCAGGGGTCCCTGTTAACCCAAACAAAATGTATTTTTGAGACGAACAAAGCAGTTGTAAAATAAACTCACCGCAACCTTCCGAGCACGAGGTTAATGGCTTCACTACTTTTCTACAGAGACCCCCAATATTGTTTGATAACCAAGTGAAAATATGCACCCTTTTTACTGATTTAACATAATCCCTTCTTCAGTCTTTGCGAGTTATTCTTTAATTTTATTGATAATGAGCGCATTTTACCACAGTGTTTCCCTCTTCTTCTTAACTAACACTGCTGGATATTTTATTTACTAGTTCAAAATAATCTAAGGTAACTGCTCATACCTGATTTGTGATTCAGTGCTATGTTTTCATGGAGTAAAATTATTAAATAAGCTCTTTTGTGATTCGCTTTGGATTTATGTTGTGTTTTCATGGAGCAGCATTTCATAAGGTAAGAGGAAAAAGAACATTATATATATTTTATTAACGTATCTATGTCCTATGTGATCTGTTTGCTAGCTAGTATATATATTAGTATATTTAGAAAATAATTATTAAATATTAATAATCATAAGTTGTAACTAGCCGTGGCTGTAAGTAAGTAAACTTATGCACAGTTAAACAAATTATAATTTATTATTAATTGTATTAATCGTCAACTTTCTAAATAAGCATCTATAAGTCAATACTAATACTATAATTTTAAAACTAATAGTATCAGTCATAAATAGTAACTGTTATTCATACTATCTAAGACAATAAAAATGCACCATAAAATCAGTGCAGAAATGTGTGGCAGACATTTTTTTTAAATGTCAGTCTAGGTTCGGGGAGTTGGGGGAGGGGGGGGGGGGTCAACAGGTAAAAAGGCTTTAAACAGAAACTATTATGATAGATTATGGCTTTAAAAAATGCTATAATGGCTACAGATTCGAAAAATGATTAAATAACTACTTTATATTTTTTTAAAAGTATAATAAAAATGTTTAAACCACTGTCTGCGTCCACAATGTCAGTCTGGGTGCGGAGAGTGGGGGGTCCACAGGTAAAAAGGCTTTAAACAGGAACTATTATTCATGCCAAATGATAGGTTATGGCTTAAAAAATGCTATAATGGCTAAAGATTCCAAAAATGATTTAAAAACTACATTAATGTGATTTTAAAGTATATTTAAAAATGTTCAAACCAATGTCTGTGTCCATTTTCAACGCAAAATACCATAGAAAATAGTCTATGTTAAAAACGTGCTAAAACATTATTTTCAAGTATTTAAAATTATTAAAACTGATGTAAAATTAAAGTTAAAGGAAGGTAAATTATAAATAGGATAAAAATTGCCTTATTTTTGAACTGTTTTAATAAATAACTAGATTAATTAATCTGAGATAAACAGTTCGTTTAGGCCACGCGGTAGCCATTTTGAGAAATCGCCGATTTAGCTGTCAAGAAGTGACCGGGAAGAAATTTAAATTTTATATTCTATGATGTACAGATTCCAGCAAAACTACCCATATTTATGTAAAAATGGACACAGAATCCAAAAATGTCAACTAAAAGTATTTAAATTCACTTTAAAAAGGAGATATTGAAGAAATTTAATTCCCGCATAGCAAATAGTAAAATTTATTTGGCTGAACAAAGATCGCTATGTAAGTTAGGTGTCGTTTGGTTGACCGACCTCTTCTGAATAACTTTGAGCCCACGTATTCGATTCTGAGCAGCCAGTATTAAGCGACGGGATTTCAAAGTAACTGATAGGCAAAGGAGCCATTTTTCGTGGACCACCGACGCCATCTTGTAACTAAGCGATCTCTACTTTCGTTTTTAAGTGGGTCACTTGAATGATCAAAATCGCTACTAGAGTGACTACACTTGTTTAACTTCTTTGGGTACATGGATGATGGTTTTATTTAAATTGTCACATTTGTTACCTTTACAACCATTTCTGTCATTTCATGAGAAATAAACAGCTACCTTTGACAGTCAATTGATTCATTAATTAAAATAATATGTTTAAATCAAATGCATTGAAATTGACATGACACATGTATGTGCACTGTGAGTGTGACTGTCTAAAGAGTAATAGAGTTGGTTGTCTGTCATAAATGGAGAAGCCATACATAATATTTAACTATGATCATGATGTCTTCTGTTGTCACACTTTGCCAGGTTAAGGCAGCTATCGTGGTTTTCTGTATGTTTTGATCTGTTCAACTATTTTATACTTGTTAACTGACTTCAGCTATGTCTATTGATTTGATCTTTTTGCAGGATCAATTGTACACTGTTTATGCATATGTTTCTTGTTCTTCTACTTGCCTTCCACTCAGCTGTTCTGCGTCTGCTGTACCCACTGTATGGTAGGTCTCATTTACAATTTGGTTGAATTCTTAGTTACTAGATGTAAAAGCTGTGTTTTATGTCAGTCTGTGATCATAGATGTAACAAGTACAATGATTTGCACATCTGTAATCCCATCACACCGGTTTTTGAACCGCCATCTGACTCGTCAGTCATTTCTGATGTATAATACAGATGTTCTTTCATTCATGCTATTGATCAGTTCGATGCCAGTTTGTCATAAATCTTTTTTGTATGTTTTGGTCTCATACTTATCCTTCGTTCCAGTTTTCCTGTTGTCATGACATACTCTAACTTTCCCTTTCTCATGATGTATTCAAAGAATGTAGATTGTCTTCTTTTGATGTGAGTAATCAGTTCTCTTTGAGTTTGTTATACATTTTGATCTATTTATTGTTCTTCTACAAAAGGTATTTTCTTTTTCTTCCTCTTCTGTGCATTCACCGGCTGTAAGCTCCAGCAGAAGGCTCTGGTTGTTCATCCACTTCTGGGCTTTAGTCTTGTTCCAGAACTTTAATTCTTTCTGCACACCTGTTTTATAGATCTGACTTATTTATATGCAGACTGTTGGTTTCTTGCCTCTTGTATTTATAAACACCGGCTTCGAAATAAACTTCCCTAATTAATTGCGTTCTACAACATGCTTGTTTGGGGGGAGGGGGGGGGGGAGATAGTGAATCTGTTAGTTTATTCCCCCATAATGGAGCTCCAGAATCCACACAGGGAAGAAATATTTGAAAGCTTAATGTAATAAAATATATTAGAGACCTATGCACAAGTTAATGTGATTGAAACTGTATGTGTGTTATTGCAGCTGAAATCAGTAGTGTGTCTGAACTTTCTGTATGTATGTTATTGCAGCTAAAATCAGGGAAGTGTCTGAACTTTCTGTATGTGTGTTATTGCAGGTGAAATCAGTGAAGTGTCTGAACTTGCCTCTGCTAAAGAATGGTCTCCCTCTTGAATCCTGGCTTACCTCTGTTGTCGCTTCAAGATATTTTAGATAGTGCCGGGCGCCTTGTGGATAAACACATTCAAGATGACCGTTCTTATCTGGATTTGGTGGACCTGCTGAACATCGCATCTGACAGTAAGTTTGCTGTAGATACAGTCAGTGTCACTTACCTACTTTCATATACTATGTGTAGGTAGAAAAGAAAACACTGAGAAGAATCCCTTTCACACAATTGGATGGTCTGGTCAACATTACGCTGGCCACCTTTACTTGCTGCGATGCTTGCTGGTACCTAATTGAGGCTAGGTCAACCTGGCAATCGTAGGTGTTATAATTATATGTCTTGAGGAGGATCAGCGTCTGTGGCTTCGTAATGCCGGGATGTCAGGTTTTATCCCTGCTGCAGATAATTTGTCTTGCGCTGGTTTTGACAGTGGTACCGATAGCCGACCGTTCAGAAGCAGTGGCAAACTACTGAACGTAAAAATTTTCCTAGAAAAACCACAACAGCCAATAAATGCTAGGGTTGGTTCTGCGAGGTCCTCTTAAGGATACACAGCTAACTTTTAACTTGATGTGGATTGAAACACAAGACTTTCAAGTTGACCGGCAAGTGTCTAGCCACTGTGCTACCGTGATGTGCTACATGGTGTTGACACAATTCAATAGTCTTGTCCCCTGTATTCTAACTAGCACTATCAGATGCATTCTGAATTGTCACTTACAGAAAACAAAATGAATTTTTAGAAGTACACATTTTCAGTTAAAGCCATATCTTAGTAAAGGAAAGTCTAAGCATGGGTTCCAAGGCCCCATTGTAGGGAAAACAAGAAAAGACCTACTGCCTCCCCAACAAGAATGTCATAAGAGCCGTCCAATTGGGAGCCTTCGAAGTCAGAGTGCATCTGCCTGAGAGGCAAGGAACCAACAATCTGCATAATATTAAACCGTATCTGATTTGCACGCAACACTCAGGTTCTGGAATAAGACTAAAGTCCAGAAGTGGATTAACAACCAGAGTTTACAGCCAGTGAACGTGAAGACGAAGAAGAGTAAAGGAAAGCGAAGGTGTACATGATGGAGAGATTGGGAAATCAACCTGTAGCTTTAGAAGATAATTTTTTAATTCCAATTTGGTAAAAGATTTTAATTAGGAAGGAGCTGAAAGTAAATATCTTTACACACATGCAGTTATGAAAGGGGGGGGGGGGGAACTAAAAGAGAAGATATACTTCTGTCATGATGTGAAGAGTTATCAGCAAACGGAACTGATCGATGCGTTTGGAGACTGCGTGTTGTGCGGAAGCATGATTGCCTACACCAGTTTGCACTGGTGATATACGTGATAGTGATAAGTGCTGGGGAATCTTTTCATTTACAACTAATTACTAAAATATGTAGTATGAATACACCTCCCATGAAACGAATTTACTTAAGTGCAATGTGAATCAAAAATTAAAATAACCAGATGAACCTTTCTGTTTAATCCACAACGCAAAAGAAATAGGCATGGAGAGTGAGGAATTACATAGAAAGTTATGAGACTGTTTGACTCAAAAGTAATGAAGGTGCTGTTTTTTTGGGAGTTGAATGATATCAAAGTGACCTGATTTCTTCTTCTTTTTCTGCCTTTCTAACTCCTATTGGAGCATAAACCCTCAACCAAGTCAATCTATCCTTCGATGTCACATGCAGCTCTCCTCATGCCCTCCCCATCTTTTTAACTTTATTCTATAGCCCCCTTCTGCAGTTTTTTTTGTTGGGTCTTCCTTCTATGCGTCTGTGGGTTCCAGTGCAAAGACATTCTACTTATATTGTTCTCAGGTTTCTTCAGCGTGCGGCCTATCCAACGGCAGCGTCTTTTCTTCACCTCTTGGTCCACTGGAACTTGCTTAGTTCTTTCCCAAAGCTCTGCATTAGTGATTCCTGATAACGATACAATATACCCATAATTTACTAATCAATAGCTTTAGTTGAGTTTGCCTGCTTGTTATCTTTTAGCACACCCAACTTTGAGTGGCTTGTATGATCATGACTACCCAAGCCTGTCTGATGTTGGATTTGGTCTGGACTCCCTCTCAGAAATATCAGTGTGGAAAAAAGTTCCACTGCCACCTGAACTGGTGGAACAGTTTGGACGTATCCTTTATTTTACATTGAATCGTGTTAAAGTACAGTTAGAATTTTACTGGATTGTTTGTCATTTTAATTATGGTCTATCATGTCAAGATTTTTGAGCATGTAATATGGAGAAAGAGTAAGATCAACAGAAAGTTATAATCAGGATGACTTGGCTACATGGCATAATCAAGATCAAAATACAGATCTGATCTAAGACTCCGAAAGTCACATGATTAATCTTCATAGATAAAAATTATTTTGTGAGGACTGAATTAAAAATTACTTATTCATCAGGGCTATTCATTCAACTGGTGGCACACGGGCCAGATTTGGCCCACGAAGTCATAGTTGGTGGCCTGCTGGATCACTGCCACTTGTATTGAATTAATAGTCTTTTTTATGCTAGGGCTTAGGACTCTGGCATTGACGATACCCATTTTCAGAATTTTGTGCCACTAACTAAACTTAGTTGAATAGCCCTATTATACACAATTCCATGTTGTGTTGGTAATATGTCTGCCCACAACCTTCTGTCTCATGTACTGCTAACTATTTCTGATACAGATGTTTTTTTTCAATGCCAGGAGGCCTGATTGTCCAAATTTGTCTTCCCTGTTCTCTTCTTCTCCCCCCCCCCCCCCCCCCCCAGCTTTCTCCATGTCACAACAAACTCTACTTTTCTTCTTCTCATTGTCAGCTGAAGATGGTGTCAAGAACAGAGCACATTTGCTGCTGAAGATAGAGATGGAGCCCTTATAGGAATAAATTAAGTGCAAAGATCTTGATTCTAAACTACTTTTTTATGTTTGCCCAACGTAGATTGTCCATGTCTGATGCAGGTAGTAAATTCTTTTTGTGAGGTAATTTCTTTCAAGACATCTTCATCACTCTTTTCATCTGTCCATGTATTCTCATCATTTTTCTGTAAAACTACATTTTCAGCAGCTTTCACAGAATTTCATCATCATTCAGCAGGTCCTTTACAGATCGTTGCTATCATCAAAACCAGTGCATTTTCAGCATCTTGTGTCCATATCCACAGAGGTCTGCCTCTGCCTCATTTTCTGGAAACTGCCCTCTATCACCATTCTCTCCAGGCTATCATGATGTTAAACATAGCCAAAATACTTCAGGACTGGATGCTATTTATGAGCCAGTTCTCCTCGATGATCAGATCATGTAGATGTTGGCTTTATCTTCTTCTTGAGCCATGGTATTCTGACAGTTTTTCTGTAGCATTTCAGTTCAAAAGCCCCGATGATTAAGAGTCCATGACTCACATCCATAAGCTACCACACAATTGACTTGAAAAAACAGCCTTAATCTGTGTCTAAGGTATGCAGTGTAACTGCATGATGGGTCTGTTCCCAGAGATAGAGAGAGCTTGGCTGACAATCGACAGTGATATATTTGTATGGAAATATGAAGATGGGTAAGTTGCCTCACACAACCCTAAGCTTGTATGTTATGTTATCACAATCAACGCTACTGTATATTTTGCATTTTTACGCCTGTTGCAGCTACCCAGGGTATTTCTGTTGATTATTCCCATAAGAAATTTCCTATCTTGACTTAGAAGAAAACATAGATGTGCTTCACCAGGCCTTAGTTTCAGGTTATGTAATCGCATTAACACTAGAGGCTCACCATTATCCACCAGTATAGTCTGTAGTTTATTATGTAATCCAGTGTTTCCCAAACTTTGCTTAGTCGCAGCGCTTTTTTCCAACAACAAAAATTCCTCGGCGCCCTAACCTAAGTAAAAGTATGACTAATTTATATGTAAGAGATAAAAAAAAAAACTCATGTATCTTAGAATATTTCGTGACGCCCCTGTGAAAAGGACACGGCTAACAAGCTTGTTAAGGGGCAGCGTGTCTGGTCTTTCCCTTCTCCCGTTTGACCCTGGAACTCACACAGGGAAATCTTCATTTAGAAACAGCTATTTTGTTGCAGATGTGTATATGTTAGTTACTTGTTATATTATCTTCATCGCCTATCAAACAAATGTACATTTAATGACAGGCTTGTAAAGGGGCGGCGTGTCTGGTCTTTCCTTTCCTCCCTCTGACCCTGGAACTCACACTGGGAAATCTTCATTTAGAAACAGCTATTTTGTTGCAGATGTGTGTATGTTAGTTAACTGATAAATTATCCTCATTGCCCATCAGACAAATCCATAAGCACTGGGATCCCATCTACAGTTTGTCTGTCAGCCTGTGGTGACTGATAACTTCAGTTCCTAGTTAGTTTACTATTCTTTTTTGGCTGCCTGTATAGTGTTCATGTCTGGCAGTACCTGTTTTGACTTGAAGTTTTTGTAGGCTAGTGAATGTTGCTGACTCTGCGTCATTTCCTAAATCCCTTACTTGTCCTGCCTCCTTGAGAGCATTGAGAATATCGGCCTGGTCCATTGCTTGTCATGTACCCTATCCTGCGTGTATGTAATAGGCCTTAAGAAAAATGTAAATTCGTTAATCTTTCAGGAGGTCACCAGACCAGAAAATGTCTTTTCTGGTTGTGTCCCTTTACTGTTTCCTCTTCTCAGCAACTCGAGTCTGTGCTCCTTCCACTTTGATTGCTAGTATGATGTAAGATATCTTATTTCTTGTCCTCCATATTACATAAAAAGCTCCTCTTGTGGGTTCCAGAGCTCTGTTTTGGAGAGCAAAGCATAGACACCCCGCCCCCGCCGTTTACAAGCATGTCAAAGGAGTCGACCAAGGGTATTTCCTTCACCGTCTGAATGCATCTGCCTAAGAGACAAGGAACCAGCAGTCTGCGCACAAAAGAAGTCACATCTGTAAAATGGATGTGTGCACAAACTGCAAGTTCTGTATTAAGACCAAAGTCCAGGAGTGGACGAACAACCAGAACTTTCCGCAGGTTTACAACCGGTGAAGAAGAAACAGCTACATATCCTTTATAGAACTTCACAAACCAGTTGTAGCATACTTTGGCTTCAGATATCCTCAGAGCACACCTGCCATCGATGGGGTCTTGCTAGTGCTGCTGCACATGGGTGTAGTTCACCAAAGCAAACACCAGAACATCTTAAAGGAATGTCTAGATGTTGCCAGTCAAAGAGAAGAAATGTAGCCCACAGGAGTGTCCCTGCAAGACAAACTATGGGGCAGTGGTGATGACCTTAGGTGGACTGTCAGGTTTATGACCCATATTAAATAGACGCACAAACCCTGTTGGGGTTCCAGGGACTTAGTGTAAGGAAAAACAAGAATAGACCCCTGGCCTACCCAAAAGCATGTTGTAAGAGTTGACTGATTATGAGTTTTCTTTGAAGTCGAAGTGCATCTGCCTGAGAGGCAAGGAACCACCTGTCTGCATACAGGTGAGTAAGATCTGTGAAATGGATGTGCACGCAGCATTGAGATTCTAGAACAGGACTACAGACAGCCCAGAAGTGGACAAACAGCCAGGACTTTCTGTCAGAGTTTACATCTGGTGAAAGTGAAGAAGATGAAGAATAGACACACAGCAAGCATTGATCGCTGAAGTTGTCTGTCTGTCTGTGGTTTTACTACAAAATTTTATGTTTCATGGTTTGGACATTGCCGTCAGTAGTCAGTACTGTTGTCAAAATCAGTGCAAAATTGTCTGCTACCAAGTCGGCTTTTCCCCATGTCGGTGCTGGGGCCTATTTTGGGGAAAACAAAAATAGACCCACCGCCTTCCAAGCGAACATGTCGTAGGAGTTGTCTAATTGGGGACTTCCTTTGAAGTTCGAGTGCATCTGTTTGAGAGGCAAGGAACAACCAACTGTACACAAATAAGCCAGTAAGATGGATGTACACACAAAACTCGAGCTCTGGCACAAATCCAAAGTCCAAATGGACAAACAGCCAAGACCTTCTGCCAGAGATTACAGCCAGTGAACAAAGAAGAAGGAGAAATTGACTTTAACTGAATTGAAACCAGTATGTCACAATTATGTAACAATAAATAACCTCTAAGATACAGACACTGATTCTCGTGTACACCAGACCTCAATTAACACACAGTACTCAGATTTTATTTCTGGTATTTTACTAGAAGATTTACATTGTTTATAAAGTGTGATTGTAAAATATTTTTGTTTGCAATTCTTAGCTCTGATCTGGCATACTTTGATGGACTGGGTGAGACTATACTGAGTGCTGCTTTATTGAAACCAAAAACAGGTTTGTTATAACTTGTGCTATTCTTGTTAGGAATATTCCATCTACAAACAGAATTTATGACAAATTACAACAATTGTTCTGTTTTTCTGTGATAAATTGCAAAAATGTTTTTTTTTTCTGTGACAAATTACAACAATGTTCTGTTTTTCTTTGGCAAATTACAGTAATGTTCTGTTTTTCTGTGACAAATTACTACAATGTTCTGTTTTTATTTGGCAAATTACAGTAATGTTCTGTTTTTCTGTGACAAATTACTACAATGTTTTGTTTTTCTGTGACAAATTAAAGTTATCAAGCTGTCTCATATTTTCAGTTTGTTAAAAAGAGGTGTGAGCTACTTATTGTTCCTTTTTAGCATTTACCGGCTGTAAACTTCAGCAGAAATTTCTGTTTGTTCCTCAACTTCTATTCTGGGGTCCTAATCTAGAACATGAGTTTTGCAGGCATATCTGTTGTACAGATCTGGCATATTTGAATGCAGACTGTTGATCCTTCACCTCTCAAGCAGATTTACTCCGACTTCAAAGGATTTCTCTGGTGTATGTCCTTTTCTGCCACCCTTACCTATCCATAGAAATTGAGTATGGAAGTGTGTGCCAGTTTCCTTTCTGATAAAAAGTTTTTAAACATTATTTGATCTTGCAGGCAGTTGTAGTCTTCAAGTGAATAAAATCCTGTTCAACCCTTAGGTTATAAATCGGGTATAAAATAACCATTATATTTTTGGTGTATATGTTTGCTGTTTTATGTATTGTATATCAAGAGCGACTGGCCATGTTGTTAGAGCGCTGGGCTCTCGTGCAGTAGACACCGGGGTTCGATAATTGGTAAGGGCTGAAATGTTTTCAGTCGGGGGCAAAAATAAAAAATTCTGCACAGCTCTTGGTGACTACACTATCTACGTAGCCTTAAACCTCCAGGCTCACCCCAAAACTGATACATACAGGCAGTAAAGATCATTTTTTTTAATTGTTTATCCATTTCTTACGTTATCTTGCAGGTATCTTCCAGCCACACATCCAATTCCTGATGTGTTTAGCAACTCCAGTCGACATTGTATTACTGGGTGTTAGTTTTCACAAGTCTGCAGATGGTAAGTGAAGGCTTATAAGGATTGGATTGTGTATAAGGCTTTTATGTTTGTAAAAATTATTGAATTATTGAAAAGGCTTTTGTATTTGTAAAAGTTTTTGAATCGTTGAAAAGGCTTTTGTACGTGTAAAAGAGAATCTTCTTGCATTGTCTTTCTCTGTCTCTTTTCCCACAGATCTTTTCAATGATAGCTTGTTCCAGTTTTTCTTTCTTCTCATAACATGAGCATTATTTTTAATATATGAATTGCTAGGGTAATTTCTCTTGCCTTCTGTGAATGGTTTCACTTCATCCAATAGCCGACCTAATAAGTAACTACCGCAGTAATACAAGAGTTGACTAAAGTACGTTAAGCTGCTACTTCATCCTGCATATAACTTTAGCTATATCCATTCTTCTTCATTTATTCGACATTTTAACTGCACTGTGCTTGTTTACAGTATGGCTGTATTTGTGCCTTTTGGCTGAGACATCCAGTTTGATAGCCTGTGTTATCTTTTCTGGTAAAAGTCAGCAAATTGTTCACAAGGCTACAGATGGCTTGGTATCGTTGAGGGCCTGTGCTCTATTGGGAAATAAGAAACAGAAAGAAAAGACAGAATAGAAGGTTTTAAATGTGATTTTGAGCCACGGAGACATTGTTTACTCAGCACCAGAGGGCAGGTTAATTATTGTAAATAATTGTGTGGTGCTTTTGGCCTTAGTAATGAAAACAGTTAAGCAAGTGTTGAGTTAAACTACGTTACCATTTGTCAACTGTAGGTTGACAAGTTGCATTATGCATTTTTACTTGCATGTTCAAGTTTCAAATCAGGTCCCTTGGTAGTGCTACAGAGTTCATGCACTGCACTGAGATTCTTTGGACTCAGACTTGAGTTGGAAGTGGAACGGAGCACTATGGGTTACTATGTGCCATGATGTTGATCCGTTGTTTAAACTGTTAAACCTAAATCAACTGCAAGCTGAGAATATCTTAAAATGTTATTTGTAAAACTTATCAACTTTGGCCACTGAAGATATGGACGGTGTGTTTATAGAAAGTTCAGAGTGCTATGATGGTAGTTATCAGCACAGCTTAAAATTATGCGTGCGCACACACACACCCCTACCCCCAATTCACAACCAGGTTATCTAAATAATTCTGCGTCCTTATATCTTCTCCTAGCTGGAGCCACTGGTGACTACCTCACAGGGGAGATGCATCTTCTGCCAGAACCCCTCTTCTCTATTCCAACGGATGGTGTCTATATCACCAGCATTGTGGGAACTGATAATGGCCGGGTCTTTATGGCTGGCAAAGATGGCTGCTTGTATGAGCTTATTTATCAGGTAAGACAGCCAGGACAAAAAAACCAGATGAGGAAATAACCATAGCTGTAGAAACGCAATATATATAATAAACAGATAGATGTGTATTGATCGGCACTCACAGAAGGACACACTAGACACATTCCACTGTTTATTTATGTCTTTCTACTTCTTTCTGTGATTGCCAACCAGTACATTTCTGTTTGTTTAAAATATATACAGGTAAGTTAGTCCCATTGCACGTAACTAGTATAGGATTGTGAAATGTTTTAAATCAGGTGCTGTCTCTGAACATTGGCTCAAATAAGTTGTCTGCAGTGTACCCACTGCTGACTTTATCTCTTTCAGTCCCAAGGGACGCATCCTATGTTCCTACCTAGAAGCCCATCCTAAGTTCCTACCTAGAAGCCCAGTGAACGCAAGATGTGCCGATTGTGCATCTCTCTTTACTGCCCTTTGGACCTCTAATGCTAGACCTCCTGGGGCTGAAAGAGTTATATTACCGAGTTAGGTCTCAGTCTCTTCTGCAGTGCACCTCTTCCAAAAACTGAGAGAGCGCTTCAGAAACAGTATTATTGTGTGCTGGGGAAATTGAATCCTAGTGCTTGAGGATCATGTAATTGTTAAACTAATACACTAACCTCTGAGCTACAGTGAAGTGTTGGGCCTTCAGGTATTCTAGGCTGCAGCATGTCTGGTAAGATGGGCCACTTTTACTTCCCAGACAGTTCTGAAAATTGTCTGCTGCTAGGTTTTTTTTCCGTTTTTTTTTTTAAGCTGTGTCAACTCCAGGATGGGACCAGTTAGAAAACATAACCCTAACCGCTGTCTTGGTAGAATGCTGACTTTCATGATTGACTGTTTATGCCAACAGTAAGCTGCACTTCTTGTGTGGAACCATTAGTGTGGGTACAACCGACAGCGGCCTTATGCATTTTTACTTTGCATATGCAAGTTTCAAAATGCTGGGACTGACCAGTATTTTGACTGGTTTTCAAATGGGACGGTGGCGGACATTTTGTGTGATTCTCACTGGCAGAGGAACGGAGCAGTTATGAGGTGACCTGTCTGCAGTGATGTTGGAACTCTGACTAACTACTGTCTTGGCTCGCAGGCACATTAGCCACAATACCACTATGGCTTCTGCCAGATAGGATACCACACAGTGAGCTGTGCACACATGTCATGATTGTATCCGACTCACAGAGAGTGTTAAGAAAAGTGGAGACAGGCATGCTGTGTGCAGTGGTAAGCATTGATTCAGAGGTCCTGGGTAGTTAACGTTCTTAGGTTGTATTCTTAGGGGTATGCAGGAGTGTTAGGAAATGAACATGCAAAATTGGTTGATTCTGCAACAATAGGTGGTGAATTCATGCATTACAGGCTAGATGTGGTTGAGGCCCTTTGGGAGCAGGTGAACAATGCAGAAGCACGGATTGATCGTTATGGTCTGGAGAGAATGGTACAGCTGGGAGTGACCAGGGAACCAGGTCGACACTCTACACTCAAAGGAAATGCAAGACAGACATATAATCATACAGCTACTGGCACCATTGGAATTTTCACTGGATGCTGAAGATGAGAACGGAGTGCTTATGGGAATGCCTGGAGGGCTGTGATATCAGTTCTTACCTCAACATTCAACTTATATAGGAGCTTATTTCGTATATCTTGGTCATATAATAATAGATTATCACAGCTATCGCCGCAGATCGGAAGGTCGTGGGTTCGCTCCCTGACGGAGCCGGACTTTTCTTCAAAAGATGACCTTGACTCCCAGGTCGACCCAGCCTTGCAGTCCCGGGAAGTAGAGGCGGCCGGCGTGATGCTGACCACATCACCCATCTTGTGCCGTTGGTCTATAAAAATATAGGTCTAGCCCTATATGCCCTATACGCCTAAAGGCGTGGAAAGGGTCCTTTACTTTTTTGTTTTTTTATCACAGCGATGAAATAAAAGATAATTTTAAAAAATCACATAAAATGAATGATCAAAAGAGTTTCAACAATACAAACAAAAAATGCCTGAAGAAAATAACACACATTGTAAATAAAATTTTAAAAACACTATTGAACACCAGTATGTGTTGTAGAAAACAACAAACAAGCTATACAAACGTTGAATTGGGGTCTTAGAGATACGAGATACAGAGGAATATTCGAGGGACATACAACCAAGCCATGGTTTAAGGAGACTGGGACCACAAAGAGAGTTGATAAAAAAAGAGACAAGTGACATGTTGTGGCCACATTGAAATACATGGCACTCCTATTTGATTTGATTTAAAAACCGACATCACAGCACTCGGTGCATTCCCTTAAGCGCTACGTCCCCATCTTCAGCAGCCAGCAAAGAGTTCCGATACTAATGGTGCCAGTAGCATTCTCTTTCCTGTGAGCCTCAAGCATCTGCCAGAACCTCTCATCACTCCCCCCTGCATCAATCTCACCAGACTGTGGTGATCCATCTGCTCCTCCGAACTGTACACGCTCTCCCACAAGGCACTAACCACATCTGCCTTATCATGCATCAGTTTTAAAAGAAGAAAAAATTGGGGCGAACTGTTTAAAATAGCTGAGCACAAATTTAACAGCTATATAAAGTAAAAAAAATGTAAAGGACCCTTTTCCACGCCTTTAGGGGTATAGGGCTAGACCTATATTTTATAGGCCAAACGGCACAAGATGGGTGATGTGGTCAGCATCACGCCGACCGTCTCTACTTCCCGGGACTGCAACCGGTACCCCCTCAATGCTGGGTCGACCTAGGAGCCAAGGTCATTTTTGAATTAAGTCCAACCCCAAGGGAGCGACCCCACGACCTTCCGATCCATGGCGAGCGTCTAGCCACTCTGCCACAGCGACTCCCAACAACTATATATTTGTAAAAATAACATCAAGAAATCTTTCTTACCTGCACAAGGCTTCAGGTTACCACAGGCTGGTGCAGTAAATGTGACTTCCTTGGAGATTGAACTGGGTATCTCAGCTTGCCACCACTAAGACTTTTTTTTTGGGGGTCTGACTGTGCCATATTAAACGTTAAAAATTCCTTGTGTCGGTTTCAGGCCTCACTATAGGGAAGACAGGAATAGATTCACTGCCTACTAAAAATCATGTCGTAAGAGTCAACTAATTGGGAGCTTCCTTTGAAGTTGAGTTCATCTGCCTGAGAGGCAAGGAATCAGCAATCTGCAAACAAATAAGTCACATCTGTAAAACGGATGCACATGCAACACTCAGGTTTTGGAACAGGACTACAGTCCAGGAGTGGAGGAACAACCAGAACTTTCCGCCAGAGTTTACAGCTGGTGAATGCAAAGAGGAAGAAGAAGAAAGATTACAAATAAATATTTGTACACTGTTCTTTGGCAGATTTATTCAGAAGGATGAGTCTAAGCTAATACATTTACTTTGTTTATTTCAGGCAGAGGATGGATGGTTCAGTCGGAAGTGTCGTAAAGTGAATCACTCCACCAGCTCTCTCTCATTTCTGATTCCTTCCTTCTTCAACTTCTCATTCAGTGAGGATGGTAAGAGATTCAAGACCAGTGTTGATGTTTAGTTCTTGTTATTTCTTGTTACTATACAAAGTAGTTAATATATTAAAGGAAGGCTCAAAGTTGTTCACTGATTGGCAGTCGGTTATCAGCATTTACCAACAGTAATAGCAATGAGAAGGAACGGCTGGTTGGATGATTTAATGTGATAGGCTGTCATGCAGGAGGTCTGGGTTAAATCCTCGTTAAGGAATGGAAAAGTTTTCTGAGAGCAGCCAAAAAAAAAAAAAATATTAGTTGCGCAGTTTTTGGCATCTGCACGAGCTATGTGGCCTTAAATCCTCAGGCTCACTGCCGTCCTGGAAGTAGTAAATACAGGTAGAAAAGGCAATAACAATTAAATCAACAGCCTGAAGACACCAATTTAAAAGACAACAGTTACCTAAGAACTCACCACTTTAGAAGTATAGTGGATTATTTCTCACTTCTGTACATTCTAAAATTAGTCGGATTGACAATTTTGAATTAAGAATCAACATCACAGCACTCGGGATATTCCCATAAGTGCTCCATCCCCATCTTCAGCAGCCAGTGCATAGTTCTAATTCTGATGGCACCAGTAACAGTCCGTTTATCCGTCTCACTTTTCCTTTCAGTGTTGAGCGTTGGGCTCATCTCAAAATAGATTTAATGAGAAAGGTTCAAAGTGTAGGCAGTGCGTCAACATAATTCATCTCTGCATTGGAAGTTGGCAATAACCGAGTCCAGCCACGTCTGTTTTGCATCTGTGTAGGGTACACATACATACATGTTTCTTACCGTCCATCTGTTGATGATGTTAATTTACATGTGGTATTGGGGGGGGGGGGAATCTTTTTCTCTCTCAGATAAATGAGCATGTACTTGTGAAGGAATACAATTTGAAACAAAGCTTCAGATACATGCATACATACACACATAAATAAATACATACATATATACACGCACCCACACACATTTTATTATGTTAAAAATTATAAAGCACTTTACTAATCATTACATCGTGCTTAGCATGAATTGTGGGGGGGGGGGGGGGGGGGCATATGATCCATTGGAAAGACAGATTAAAAAGACATGATTATCCCACCACATATATAAAAAAAAAAAAACATATATGTAACTCTTTTTTGTTTCCTCTTTGGATAGACCCTCTGGTTCAGATAAGCATAGATGACACAAGGGGGATCTTGTATGCTCGGACACAGAAGGGAACCATTCAGGTGAGGACTGACTTATTCTGTTTCTAGCCCATTCCTGACCACGCCACATGACCGCAAACATTGTGTAAACTCATTCAGCTGTAGTACCATAAGTGTTTTGCCTGTGGATTTCATAGGCTAAGGAAAATTTTCTGATTATAGAGGAGATAGATATAGGTGCTTTAAATATAGTTACATAGCCACTGTTTAACATTTTTGTTTTATTTCGGAGTGGGGCACGGCACCTCACTGTAAAATTTTGATTGTTTGTCAATGTCTGAAATTTAGTCTTGTTCCAAAAGTTGAGTTTTGCGTGCAAGTCCGTTTTACAGATCTGGCTTTGTATGCAGATTGTTGAGTCCTCGTCTTTCATATAGAGATGCAGTCTGACTTTCTAAAGAAGCACCCCTGATTAGTTAATTTTTATGACATGCTTGTCTTCTATGATTACGGTAAAACCTCATTAACATGAATTCCATGGTGCTGAAAATCTACAGAGAAAAATGTACCCTAACCGGGCCTTTATAATAATATCTCTGCCATGACCAAAATTTTGTTCATGTTAACCTAGTGCCCCTAAGGGAGTTTGACTGTAGTTGGTTTTCGAAGTAGTAAGAAACAGTCTCGTCTTCTCTCCTGAACATAAAATTTGCCTAGAAAAACCACAGCAGCACAAAATAATGCTGGGGTTGGTTCTGCAACGTCCTGTAAAAGATATGTGACTAACTTCAACCCTCTCAAGTTGCTTCTTGTGATGTTTGCATGGTAGTTTAGTGTTAGGATTCTTTGCTTGGCTCATTACTGACTAGCTTCTGGTCAACATGGTGGATAGGAAGATTTATTTATTTATTTATTTATTTATTTTTGAAGTAATGAGAAGTTTTTGTTTTAGGCTATAGCTAACAATAAAATTTTTTTCCATGTATGAACTGAAAGGATGTAGTTCCATTGACCAGCTACAGTGTTGAGTGCATAGCGCGACATGTTGAGCTGTGGATTTAATTTGGAATGCCTTTTGATTGCCTGGTGTGGTTTATGTTGGGAGCTGCAGATTCATAAGACGAGTGGTTTGTTGCCAATGAACTGGAGGTGCCTTATGCAGTTAATTGTGTTCGCAACTACTGTTGTAACAGCTGCTTCCATCAATGATGAACTGCATTTCTAGCTTCGGACTGCTTTGGCACACCTGGCTTCTTTTGGGTATTTAAGGGTATTTAATGTGTATTTATGCTATTGGATTCACCGAGACTGCAGTCTTAGTTTTTTGCAACAGAGAAAGTCATGTACATTCTTCATTGGTGGTGGGGGGGGGGCAAGGAATAGCACAACTATGGCTTTAAAGTTGGGACTGCGATTACATGATTACCTGATCTTTGCTTCACTTATTTTCCCCTGCAAAATTTTTAGAGTGCTTCTAACACAGACCTTGTTTTTTTTGGGAAACACCCTTTGAAATCATTGTTGGTCAAGTCCAAGCAGTTAGTCACTATGATTTTATTTTTTGAAAGAAAAATAAATAAATCCTCCTTACTGGTTTGATGGTGTGAAAACTTTATAGTTTCATTTGTCAGGTATTTGATCTTGGTGAAGACAAGAAAGGTATGGGAAGGATTGCCTCACTGTCACAGGCCACTATATTAAATGCAGCCGGAGATATTGCTCGGTGAGTATATATTTTGTTTTCTTTTTCTGATGCAAGGAATATGAATTCTAGTAAAGTAAATAAAAAGGGCATAGACTTTGCAGAATGTTCTTCTCATTGCTAGAAATGAATTAGCTTAGCACAGACTAGGCATCTCAAACAAAACCAGATGTTTTAACCAGTCTTTATCAACAACAAAAACAATAACAGGAATCCTGAGGTGCACACACAAGGAAAGAAACACAATTTGAAATGTAAAGAGAAAAAAAATGTATTTTCTTTCTAGTTAGTTCCACTGGCTTCCTTGTTTGAGTTCAAGGGCCCTATAGTGCAGAAAACAAGAATATACCCACTGCCTGCCCAAAAGTCATGTTGTAAGAGTTGACTGACTAGGAGCTTCTTTTGAGTGCATCTGCTAGAGGGGCAGAGAACCAGCAGGCTGCATGCAGATGTGTCATATCTGTAAAACGGATGCACACTCAACACTCATGTTCTGGAACAGGGCTGTAGTCCAAAGAAGGACGACCAACCAGGACTATCTGCCGGAGTTTACAGCTGGTGTGCGCGAAAAAGAAGTTCCAGTAGCAATAAATAAAACCCTAACCTGCACAGTTAATGGGAGACAGCACCAGCCATGCGGCTGTAAATCCGCAGGTCAGAATCCTCCTGCCTACACTGCATAAGTGGTCAATACAGGCAAAGATGGTAGACTTTTCATGGCTTTTGTTTAATTTCCAGTATGCTGACATTTTGTTTTTAATCCATTATCTGTTCCACTATCCCCTACACTTTCAAACCTAGCATGTCTTTAAAATCCTGTAGCCATTATCATATTCATCAGCCTTTTATCTTGTTTTCCAGCATCAAACCCTGCAGAACTGTTCTTTCTTAACCACAATGACGTGTGCCAAAATAGTTAATTTTCAAGACATGATTCTTAGTTCAGTTTTTAAATTTAAAAAAAATTCTTTCTTTCACATGACAAACAAATGTGTTTGCCACAGCTGCACTCTTGATACCTGATCGTGCATTGTTGTTAAAATTGCTTGCCTCTTAAACTTAAGTGGCATTTTTATTTATTTACTAACTTGTTGCATTTGTACAGCTAGACTGCACTTCAACTCTTTTCATATCATTGTATTTTCGCAGAAACATAGAGGTCTCCAATTTCAACTCCATAGTTTACATCTCTGCCATAACCCAGAGAGAGTCACATGTAGTTCACCTGGTGGCAGTCACAGACACAGGTTTGTTTTGTTTATTCTCTAGTTTTTTTCTCCGTATTTTTTCATGCATGAATAAAACATGTGCGCTGGCACTGTTTTGTGTGAGGCCAGTTTTCATTTTATTAACTTTAATTCTAGATATTTACTTGCTCATATAAATATACCATGCTCCAGGAAGAAAAGAAATATTGACCTTCTTTAAGATCTTAACTTTAATGAAAACTGTCTCATAAACAGCATCTCATCTCAGAAGGTGTAACATAATTGACCAAATCAAGCACCACAATGGCTTGGAAAGAACAGTAGTGGAGGGTTTGCTACTGGGTAGGAGCTGGGGGGGGGGGGGGGGGTGAAGTCAGCACAAAGATATATGCAGGACATAACAGCCACCTTGGGCAGGAAAGTGCATGTGGCAGAAAAGCTGACAAAGGGTGGAGTTTCTTTCAAGCAGGTTGTGATGGGAGCGACATTCTCCTGAGGACCTGCTATATAAGGATGATGATGATGTTCCTAAGATACAGAAGTAAATAAAATATATTGTGTTAGAATTGATTTTCTTCTTGTTCTTCGTCTTCACTCATGAGGTTTGTTGGCACATTGTGTTGTTATTTACATTTAGGCTGCGATATCTGCGCCTTTTGGCTCAGCATATTCTCTCCCCCCCCCCCCCCCCCCCCCCCCCCCAGCAAACTGCTAATTTATCATCATCATCTAGCAGGTCCTTTACACATCAGTCTGCCTGAAAGAAACTTAGTCTCTTGTTAGCTCTCCTGTTGCATTCACTTTCCTGCCCAAAGTGTCACTTATATCCTGTGCCCATCTTCATACTGGTTGACCCCTGCCCCTCCTTTCTTGTACCCTTCTACTGTTATTTATAAATCCCTAATTAGTCATCTTTTTTGACATTCTTGTTAGGGAGCAGAGTTTATTTTTTGTGAGATACAAAGAATAGACCCACCCCCCACACACACACACATACCCCCTCCCCACCGCATGTTGTAAAAGGGGACTGATTACTGGTGTTTTCTTTAGATTCTGCATGCATTTGCGTGAGAGGCGAGGAACCACTAGTCTGCATAAAATAAGCCAGATCTGTAAAATGGATGCTCACACAAGAGCATCGAGTTCTGGAAAAAGACAACTCCAAAAGTAGACAAACAACAGGCATTTTTCACCAGAGTTTACCACCAGTGAAGAAGAAGAAGAAATGAGCATTCAGGGTACCATTTTAGCTTTATAAACTGGCATTTGACTCCTTATACTTCACTATCTTTTCCTGTTTTTTTTTAGGTGTACGTCTGTACTTTACAACAGTGCATTTCAAGCAGACAGGAACACGGCCTTCTACATTGTCTTTGCTTCATGTCAGGCTTCCACCAGGGTTCTCTGCCACATCAACTCCACAGAAGCCATCAAAGGTGCACACTGCCTACCACAGTCAAGGTAAAATAGAATACTGTTATAATACATTGTGCACCACAAACTTAAGGGAGGCTCTTTCAGAAGTATTGCATAATGCTAAAGAAAGTCAGAAGAAAACTAGATCACAGACTTCTAACGCCCAAGACTTTTAAACCTGGATGTGTAACTTAAAATGTTAAAGTATGTTCCCCGTGTGGGTTCCGGGACTCTATTATAGGAAGAACAAGAATAGACCCACTGCCTACCCAAAAGTATGTCGTAAGAGTCGACTGATTGGGAGCTTCCATCAAAGTCAGAGTGCATCTGCCTGAGAGGCAAGGAACCAACAGTCTGCATACAAATGAGTCAGATCTGTAAAACTGATGTACACACAACACTCCGGTTCTGGAACAGGACTGCAGTCCAGAAGTGGATGAACAATCAGAACTTTCCGCCAGAGTTTACAGCTGGTGAATAGGGGAAAAAAAGAAGTTAAAGTATGTGGAATGTTTATTTTACCAATTGTATAATTATTAAATGTTACTTTTGAGGATTAAATGTGTCCTTTTTTTTCAAGTCTTCTTCTTCTTCTTCTTTGTTCACTGGCTTTTAGCTCCGGTGGAAAGTCCTGGTTGTTTGTCCATTTGGACTTTGGCTTTGTGCCAGGACCTGAGTTTTTCGTGTACATCCGTTTAACTGGCTTATTTGTGTGCAGTTGGTTGTTTCTTGCTGCTCGGGCAGATGCACTTCAACTTCAAAGGTAGTCCCCAGTTGGTCAGTTCCTGTACTTGCTGGGAAGGCAGTGGGTCTATTCTTGTTTTACCCACAATGGGGCCGCTGGAACCCACACTTGGATTTTTCAACAGTGATGCTCATGAAGTAGAAAGGATCATTTCTATGACATTGGCACACTGGACATATGGTTCTAGAATATATTTTTATAGACTCTTTGACACTGGATATCCCGGTGTGGGTTTCGGGTCCCCATTTTGGACCTGCACCCCCCCCCCCCCCCCTCTTCCCTAAGTGTGTTGTAAAAAGCCACTTATTGGTGGTGTTTCCTTCAAAGTCGGAGTGCAACTGCCTGAGTGGTGAGAAACCAACCATCTTCATACAAATAAGCCAGATCTGTCAAACATGTATGCACACAAAGCTCATGTTCTGGAACAAGACCAGCGCCCGGGAGTGGACGAACAACCAGAACTTTACATCGAAGTTTACAGCCCGTGAACACTAAGAAGAAGAAGACACTCAATGAATAATGTGGCTGTAGTCCAATCTGAAAACTGTGCCCATCTTTAAAAATCTGTAACTCTGTAAATGTTTGATGTAAGTCTTTGAAATTTGGCATGCAACCTGCTAGTAATCATGTCCTTGTGAGAATTATTTTTTTCAAATGAAGAGACATCGTTTTCATTTTGCCCTACTTGCAGTATGTGAAAAAAATAGACAATGATTCAAAGCAAATAATGAGCGTGCTTACAGTTAACTGCATAATGGGAACTTTTCAAAACATCAGATTGCATGTGTTTCGTGGGTGTTTCACTCTCAGGTGACCATCTCCAGCATTAGCCTGACGTAAATTAAATAAACACAATTTTTTTTTGCATGTGGAATAGGCTATCAAAATAATCACCCTGTATTGCCGCACATGTCCAGACAATTTCCACGCCTGTGTATATTCTATTTTTTTAGGGGTGTATAAATTATTAGTCAGAGATCAAAGAAATTTGCGGCTTTAAGAAAAACAGCAGCACCCGTGCAGTTTGAGAGCATGACTTTTGAAATGCACTAAAACGTCCTGCTGGTCAGTTTTACTTCACAGGATATTTCCTGGTATGGTTAAGTATTGTCATAGTCTCTTACACTTGGGGGTTGGCAATACAAGAGTGTGATGATGCCATGGCATGTTTTTTTTTTCAAACCAATATACATTTTAAATTCATTAGTTGTTTAGTTAGTTAATTGACTGATTATCCACATCAGACAAGTCCATAAACACTCGGATCCCCTCTTCTTTTCTTTTCTCCAGGATGCCTTGCGGCGTCAGGGCAGGATCCCATCTTTAGTATATCCCTTAGCATGTGGCAACTGAAAACACCAGTTTTGTGTTGGTTTACTATTCTTCTTTGGCTGTCGGTGTAGAGTTCATGTTTTTTGCTACCTATTTCAGCCTGAAGTTCTTGTAGTCTTTAATGTTACAGATTCATAAACTTACATGCAGCAGATATTTTCAGTGTTTTATGTCAGTTGTGTTGTCATTATTCTAGTGATAACTTGGATTGGATTGTAAATTATTTTCATGTATTCAATTCTGCAGGTACACTTCTGCTAGTCTCCAACCAAAATGAGGACAATGACCTCATGTGGGCCATGAGTCCTGATTCCTTCCCTTTCTCCAGGCAAATGATGGAGCTGCATGTAAGTTATGAATTCTTGCTTCTGAGGGTGGGGCTTTTGTGTATCTTGCACCATGAAATTACTTTTCTTGATGAATAACCAATAGTGGGTGGATGTTAATGAATATCAACGTCAGTCCTAATTTCCTAACAGCTTTTTTTCATCTGGAGAAGATGTTGCCGAAATATCTACACAAAGTAGCCAAAAGGACGACTGGGCTGATCGGCCGGCCCTATTAATACAAGCCTTGAGATTGGCTGGCAGGTTTTTGAACCAGCCAATCCGATTGCTTCTCGCATTTCTTGCACATGTGGGCTGTTCTTTGACAGCTTTCGGAAAAGTTTGATGTGTTCGGTAATTTGACATCAATTTTTATCTGGGGTTACCTGTGCCCAACTGGCGAAAAAGACTTGCGTCAAAGCAACCAAAACATAGCTGGAGGCAGGAAAATAAGTAGAACCATGTGCCAGAAGTGTCTGAATGGCCTCCAAGGGCCTTAATTCACAAAACATAAGTGTTAGGACTTTTTCAAACTTCAGCCATAAAAAAATTCCCCCACATTTTTTAGGTTAGTCATGTTTGTTCCCAAATTTAACCAAACAAAAATTGCTTGCATAAATTATGCAAATCAGAATAGTTAATTTGAATAAATGTTAAGATTTCAGTTTGATTTATAAATATTCTGCTAGCTCATTCAATTTCCCACACGTAAATAAAGTTTTCTTTATGTTAATTAAACGCTTTATTTAAAATAAAAAGTGTATGTATAAACTGAGAATCTCCTTCCAAAGGCTTCGTCTTTGTTGGCACTGAAACTCCAAAAAGGCTCAGTCTCCAGAGCGTTAATAAGGATAGTACCATATAACTAAAAGACCTTTTAGAAGGAAAGAGGGCACTTTACGTACACATATTTTTTAATTTTTCTAATTATTAATACTTGTGATGGCTTGTTTTCCTTGAATTTGCTTGATATATTTTTCAGGTGAAAGCGATTCTCTTTTTATATGTCAGCTTTCCACGTTTATTGTTTTTAAAGACACTTTTGGTGACAGTGCCTGAGAACTACTTGTTGCATCTCCTTACAGACCGCAGTTCCTATTGACGGCAAAACCTGGGCACTAGATGAAGTCAAGTACCAGTCCATCTTGGATCCTGTTCCAGCACTGGCGATAACTGCACATTCCAGGCCAGATCCCCCTGCTGTGGTCAGTCAGCATGCACTTCCACCTCGAAAGTTTGTTGTGCTTGGTGCTCAAGGCATCCACATTATACAGAAACTGAGACCACTGGAGCAGCTGAGACAGTTGATGATTGAATATGGAGGGCCAGATGCCGAACAGGTCAAGGCTTTCTTTAGGCTGCATAAGGTGAGGGACGTGTGTTGCTTTTATTTAACAGGTTAGTTTTCTAAAGTGGACGATATCATCCCTAGGGGAACATAAGAATGATCCAGAGTGTAGTAGTAGAAACATATGCATGTTATGCACGTGAAAAATTCCCTTGGCAGTTGGAAATTGAAAAAAGAGTAGCCCAACGGCACCGCCCGATAAAATTTAGAGTTAAAAATCTACCCAGAGTATTTCAGGATCCTTGCCGGTGCTATTAAGTTCGTGCACTGCAATGAGATTCTTCAGACTCGGCCTTGAGTTAGAAGTATAACGGAGCACTTATGGGTTACTACCCTTGGGCCATGATGTTGATCTATCGTCTAAACCTAAACCAATGCATGTGGGCGACACTAGAATAACCCTCAAGGCTGTAGTCTCTTCTGGTTCAGTTGAGGGGAGGGCGTATATGGAAGCACATGTAAACATAAATAACAATAATTTTGATGAAATAAAAATGTTCATACCTGTTTCATTTGTTGTATAACTGATAAAGTTGTGGATACATAATATGCAAAGTGTATCACTACACACATATCTCTTTATTTTCTCTCACACTCACACTGACTTCCCTTCCTCCTCCTTCCCCTCTCTTATTTGATGTGTTTTGGCTCTTTTTATAGTCTGTTAGTATCATGTCAATTTAGTAATAATACAGTAAAAATCTCATTACGACGAGAAGATAACATGAATATAATTTTTTCCCCGCATGGATGTATTATTATTATTTGTCTCTGGTTAACACAAATTCTTTTTAAAATGAACTTGATATTTGGTACCATAGAATTTATTTTACCATGAAAATTATGTTTTTTTAAATATGTATTTAATACCTGAAACCATGCTTCCGTGTATCTTTGATAGCTCGACCAAGCCTGTGCGACGTGTCTTGTCCTGGCTTGTTCAAGATCTTCAACTGATCAACAGGTAGGATAATTTGTTTCGGGTTTGCTTCTGTTTCTATTATACCACTGAGAGTAGTTTTCAGTGAAGCATATAGCTAATACAGTGTGTATATTCGGCATTATGTTTGAATAAACAAAAAAATATGCTTAGAAGTATTGTTATTTTTATAGTTTTATTGGAATAGAAAATAAAAGTTTGTGTAAGACTAAAAGCAGCATTTAAACAGCCCTGTGGACAATTCATATTTTGTTTTCCTTTTGCATTTATTTTCTTTTGTGTGTGTGTATGGGTATCAGCTAATTTTAACAAAAATGATCCCTCCTGAGCTGTTGGCTCAATAGCCATGTGGTGCTCGACCCACAATTTTAGAGAGCAGTCTGTATTTGATGGATGATGTGGGCATCCTCCTGCCAGCTGTCTTTAAATTACAGGAGCATTTTTATTTTCAAGGTGATGACGAGTGGCTGTGTTATGTTTCAGTGGCTGCGATTTCTCTCGGATTGTTTTGTTCCCTTGTTATGGACTATTCTGTGCGCATTTCCAGTGCAGGATACATTGTATTTTTTCTGTCCCAATAAGAGCAATTTTAATTATGGTTTTACTGTGTCGAGGTGAGATGATGACCGATAGTTTTCACAGCCTTGAACACACTGCTCTTGCAATGTTTTTGATCGCGGAGGTTCACTATCCGGGAAAACAAAATCTTGTTACTGGAAAGGCTAACCCGGGCAGCAAATGTTTGCATACGGCAGATGTGTTGGCCGAAAGGCACAAATATCGCAGTCATGTTGCAAATGGGCATAACACATTTACATCTTTGGATGCACATAAACTGTCAAGAAAGCAAACTTGATGAAAGCTGTGTCGACCATTTCTTGGGTGTGGAGGGATCAACACATGGGGTTAGTTCAGTGGCCATGGCCACAGGAAATTTCTGTTACCCATGTTAGGTTGAGCCCACCTTGGAGTTATATCATTTATATAAAACCTGCTCTAGTGATGTTGTGAATCCAAGGCCTAGAAACTTCATTTATGCGGCTCCCCTATTTGTCAGACCCCCCCCCCCCCCCCCCCCCCCCCAAGTTAATTATTATGTTTTGTTTGTTTTTCTTGTGCAGGTTTCTGACTGGGCCAGGATGGCTTTCTTTATGTACGGTGGAGAGGCTCAGTACAACTTCACAAGCTTGAGAGCACCATTGTCTAATGTCTCATTTTCAGCAGGTAATTTAACAATAGAATTGTCTTCTTCCTGGCTCACAGGCTGTTTAACTCCGGCAGAAAGTCATGGTTGTTCGTCCACATCTGGACTTTAGTCCTGCTGCAGCAGCTTAAATTTAGCATGCACATCCTTTTCACAGATTTGTATGCAGTCAGTTTATTCCTGGCCTCTAAGCCAGATGCGCTCTGACTTTGGAGGAGAAATCACTGATTTGTCGCCTTTTACAACATGTTTGATAGGGAGGCATGGGGGATCCTCTTCTCCCCACCATCCCCAACCTAAATAGGGCCTCGGACCCACACAGGCATCACACAATTGTAATTCACTTTTAAACTATTTTTGTTATTTTGCAGTGACCCTATATCAGGACAGTATTTTTTCTTGGGTTTGGACAACATTAATTTTAAGCAAAATTTTTTTTCTGCAACATGACAAAGCTAAAACCAACATAAATAAAAAGTATTGACTGTACAGTGAAAAAATATATATCAAATTACAGAGACATGAATGCAGAATGAATCTAAACTATTTAAGTACTGCTACAACAAAATTATTAAAATCCCACAGCATTCAAGAATGTTAGGCACATGTGATGATTTGCACACATAAAATGTGCTTACCTTACTTTTTATTTGTTGAAAACACTGCTGAACATTTCTAAGGATTCACATGCTTTCTCTGTTCAATTATGCATCAGCTAGTCCTTATTGAATCAATTAATTTAAATACTTTGGATTTTATGACGATTTGTGTATGACATGTCCAATTTCACAACACCCGAATTCCTGACATAGCTGATCACAATAGAGATGATCCAAAAATATTTTGTTCAACTTCAACCTTACCTATATTAACGGCAATAGGTTTGGCACATGCATTATCAGTCATAATATCAAGACTATTGTCACTATCTGGCTGAGATTCATCAATGACAGAGTAGTAGGAACAGTGCTAAACCTTTTTCTTTACCACTTGGTCTAGAAAAATCACATAAAACATCTAATTAATTAAAAATAAATCAGAAAGTGAACCAAACACCACGCCAGACTTTGAAAACTAAAGGACTGTGTTTCGCTAATTCTAGTTTTTCAAAACATGTTCATACAAATTCGTTTTTTCCAGCAAACAAAACAATATTAGAGCGTCTGTATGAAGAGCCATTATAGTGGCTTTCGGTCTGAACGTGATATATTCAAAACCCACTAAATTGGCGTCCAGTCTGTAAAGAGTTAAGTGAGTTAAATGCATGGTTTTTTTTAAGGCCTGTGTCTTCTACTTCTTCTGCGTTCGACATCAGTCATGCTAAACATTGAGTCCCGTCTGGGTCACAAATAGATTTGTGCGTTTAAGGTCCCCCATAGCTTCTCTTGCAATGTGGCTCCCTTGGGCCAGATCCAGTCTTTGCTGGGAGAGGTTAGGGCAGTACTGTAGTATGTGCTCAGGGGTCTGTCTTTCTGCTCCACAATCACAAGCAGCAGATTCTTTTATGCCTATCCTGTACAGGTGTGCTCAAAGACCTGTCCGAAGTCTAAAAATTGATGTTTGTTCTTTCCTGTTGAGTTTGTTTATGCTGTGGCCTGTGTCTAAATACATCAGTTTGTTAAAAACAAACATTTTGTGAGGTTAGCTTTCCTTAGCCCTTGACTGCCTCAATCTTCTTACATAATATCATGTTTATTTGCCCGATTCCTATGTCTTGACCTGTTCGACACCAGTAGCTAAGTAATCACTGAAATAGTTTACGAGTCATTAAAACACAAACGCTCTTTTCCACTGCAAGGTGGCGACACATCATTGTGGTAACCTGCATATTCTATCAACTTACTTGATGTGACTCGCAATCGTAGAAACCAATCAAAAATGCCTAATTTGATCCTCTTTCAGCTGCCCAAAGGCCTGCTTTATTGAGGGCAGTTTCTTTGCTGATTCATTTCGATTTGTTGTGGCGATCATTTTCGCCTAAGTTCGGGTATTTGCTGCTGCATCATGTCTGCTCGATCAGGCTTGGCTGGTGTAGTCCGGCTTTTTGGGAGTGGGAGGGGCAGCCCTAAGAAGGGCTGCCATATTTGTATGAAACGGGGATGGGCGGGGTCTCCTCGTGGCTGTCTTCTGCTATCATGTCTGGCGTTTGATGTTGAGTTGTCCTTAATGTGACATCATGTAACCAATATTTATATATGACAGCATTTGTAACACTGTTGCCTGCGCTGTATTGCTGCACCCTATTGTCATCATCAACCCGTAACACTGCATATCGTTGGGTCACCCGTTTCTGTTTACCGACTTATCAGCTCTCTCCAACTTTTGACACTCAGATGGACTTCATGGTTGCATGCCTAAGATCTGTCCAGTCAGTAAAGTTTGTACCCAGGTCTTTCTTGGTCTTCATCTCCTCTTCCCCTCTACTGAATGCTGTAGTATTGTTTTTGAGAGACTGTTGGAGCTTATTACGTGTCTGGACCATTGCATTTTCCACCTTTTCACTATAGTTAAAAGAAGTTCATAGCTGCTAATGGGCTTGCCAATATTTTTTGTTCTTAAAGATTGCATTTCCAGTGCTCCCCCTATATCACATACATTTTATTTGTTATATGTACGTTCTCTTAAACTTCAAAAACAGTCTTTGGATCTGTAACCCTTTTCAGCGGTTTAATGCTAGCGCTGGCTTTAAGGAACCTAAACTCTTGGGCACCAGATGTGATCTGCAAAAATCAATAAAGCTCTCCTTCTTAGCTTTCACTGGCTGAAAAGTTCTGGTTGTTCAGTCCACTTCTGGACTTTGATCTTGTTACAGAATTTGAGTTTTGCATGCACATCCGTTTTCCAGATTTGGCTTATTTGTATGTAGACTGTTGGTTTCTTGTTTTTCAGACAGATGCACTCTGACTTAACAGGAAACATGCCTAATTAGTTGACTTTTACTACTGCTTGAATTTTTTGGGGAGGTGAGGATCTGTTCTTCCCCCCCCCCCCCTTTTTACAGTGGGACCCAGGTACCTATTGGGGATGCCCTGCACCTGCAATGAAAAGTAGATGTTTAAATCTCGGGGCTGGAATAGTTTTATGCTTCTTGCATCATTCCTGTTGGCCTCTGTGGCTTCGGGATTGGGAAACCAGTTTCATAATCTTGGACATACCAAAGTTGGAAATCAGCTGCTGATGATTCAGTAGCAGGCTGCTATCATTGATTTGGACAAATGTGTGAGCTTTGTAGTGCTCAAACAAAAATGGCAAAGCACTGAGTGTAAACATTGCCCAGTAAAACCACACAACCAATAATGCTGGCTGGTTAGCGACTTCCTGGAGAAACCCGACTTTTAACTTCATTCCTGGGGTATTATCTGCAGTAAATATTTACTCACTTTGCCATGTGTATATAAGGGAGCTGCTGTTGTGTAGCGGCTAGATGCTCACCTGGGAATCCAAAAGGCAGTTGGTTCAAATCCAAAAGAAGCCGGACTTTTCCCCCCAAAAAAATTACCCCTTAAGAGAGTGCCAGGTGAGGTCATGGGAAGTAAAGACAGCTGATGTGATGTTGACCACATTACCCACCGAATGCCGGTCTATGAAATATAGATCAAGCACTGTATATACTAGGGCTGTACCGAATATTCGCTTCGGGGTCGAATAGTGGACCTATTGACTATTCGGTATTCGGCTGAATAGTTGCGGTCGGGCCGAATACGAATAGTAGGAACCTTACACCCACTTCTGCATATACGGCCTTAATGCTGACAACATGGAACGATTGGTTTTGTTGGAAGCTAATGCAGCTTTCCTGCATTAACTAAGCTGTCAGTGACAATTTCCAAGTTTAGTTACTTGTTATAATCCTTAGGATTCTTTCATTCCTAGTTATTAGTTACCACAGACTGACTGAAGGATAAAAAAACCAAAAAAAAAAATATTTTTAATGTTTACTATTCCATACGAATACTAACTAGACATGGAAAGGATATAAACTCTGGCCACTTCCAAGTCGATAATATGAAAATCAAACGAATGAAACATATAAGTACTTGGGTGCAAACTTCAACTGCTCCAACATGCTGAGAGAAGAAATACAATCTAGAATACATTCTAGAAATAAAGTATACTATGCCCTTCAACATCTGCTATAGTCAAAGTGTCTGTTTCGCAACACCAAGATCAAAATATATAAAACGTTGATAAGACCAGTCGTTTTATATGGCTCTGAAACTTGAAGTAGAAATAAAAGAGGTGAGGCCTTATTACAGGCTCTCAAAACAGCCCTACGACAAATCTTTGGACCTATCAGAGATGCTAACAGCGGGTAATGAAGAGTGAGAAGCAACAATGTAACACATAATCTGTTTAAATCACCATTTATCACTGGCATCATGAGAGCTAACAGACTAAAATGGTTGGGGTATATTGAAAGAATGTCAGATGACAGAGAAGTAAAAACTGTATACACATGAAAGAGGAATGGGCGTAGACCACGAGGCAGACAAAAAAAGAAGTATAAGAGATAATGTCCAGTCAGACCTGCAAACAACTGGTGTCACAAATTCAGCCAGAGAGATAAATGGAGACGAGTGAAATCTGCAGCAGTAAACCTCAAGAGCTCAGAATGCTAAAGAAAAAGAGTACTATTCTGTGCTACTTTATGTGAAGTAAAAGTTCAGCATACATTTGACATTATGAATGTTTTTTTATTTTTATTTTTAAATAAATATATTTTATACACTATTCGTATTCGGCCGAATAGTTGGTCCCGCTATTCATATTCGGCCGAATAGTGAAAATCACTATTCGGTACAGCCCTAATATATACCTCGCTCCCTGGCGGAGCCGAACTTTTTAAAAAAATGATCTTGGCTCCCAGGTCGACCCAGCCTTGAGTGGGTACCGGGTGCAGTCCCGGGAAGTAAAGACGGCCGGCGTGATGCTGACCACATCATCCATCTTGTGCCGATTGGTCTATAAAAATATAGGTCTAGCCTTATATGCCCTATACGCCTAAAGGCGTGGAAAAGGGCCCTTTACTTTTATTTTAACTATATATTCTCAATATGCTTAAAGACGAGGAAAATAATCCTTTACGTTTAAATAATAATAATAATAAAAAATAGAATGTGTTTGTGATCTTTTTATATTCACTCTTCATAAATAATCTTAGGTGGACCAGGACACTTGTCAAATACTGTGTTGTACAGCCCTGGGTCAATGGGTGGGTCAATGATTCCTGGAACACCCATGCAGAGTAAGTATCTGGGTAGTGTCTTGTTTTAAGCTGATCTGTTTAATTTGCTAGTTATGGTCGTACTTAAATCTTTCTGGACAGAGTAACACACTGTCTGATTTAAGGTCTGTTCTTTTCTTTATTATGTCATTTGACTAAGCCATCAAGGTATTTATTTATGTGTCTTATTGTTGTGCACTGCACATCCAGATTGCTAATTTTGACTTATTTTTCAAGTTTTCTTCTCAAAGCATGGCCAGGAATTCTTGTCTCTGTCAATATAGTCTAGTCGGGTTATAGTTATCGCCTGTCTGTTGGCTGCACCATTAATCCCCATGTGGGTTCTGGGGCCCCATTTGGGAAGTGGTTGGGGGGGGGGGGGGTTAGACCCACTGACAAGTATGTCGTAACAAGAGACTAATGAGGGGTGTTCCCTTCTAAGTCAGAGTGTTATCTTTCTGAGAGGCGAGGAACCAGAAGTCTGCATAACAAGAAAGCCAAATCTGGCAAATAACTATGCACGTAAAAGTCAAGCTCTGTAAAAAGACTGAGGTCCAGAAGTGAGCAAACAGCCATAACTTTCTGCCAGTGAATGCAAAGAGGGAGACTACAGATTTATTTTTTTTGGTGCTGGCTAAATTCCTTGCACTCTTCTCAGAAACTACAGCTCAGCCACCATTTTATATGTTTTTCTGTTTCTTTGCTTATTGTTCTTGTTGAAATGCTTATTAAAGCAAAAACACAGGCTATGTGTATCACATTACCTCTATTACTAAAATGCATTTGACACTTTTTTTTTTAAATTTGCGATTTACTCTGTTTTTCTGCATCTGGGGTTTAGATGTTGCGAATGCGCTTTGTAATTAAGGTGCTGGATTCACTTCTAGCTGCCCACCATTTGACAGCAAACCGCTTTGTGTAGGTTTTAACAATGGTAGTGGTATCCAAGCCGCTCAGAAAGCGATGATAAATTACTAAACGTAAAATTGCCAGGTGAAATCACAAACAGCCAAATATTCTGTATTAGTTCTGTGAAGAAAACGCCACTAACCTTTTATGTTTAAAGTACAGCAATTTGTGACAAACATTTTCATTTTGTGAGGTTAGCTTTCCTGAGCCTTACACTGCACCCAGTTTTTTTTTAAGCATAATAAGTGTTGGTCTTTTACAAATATGCTATTTTTCAGCTTCAATTATTCTTGCTATCATTCTCTCTCTGTGTCATTCACTCACTTAGTCTCTCCCTACTTCCTTTCCAATCTCACTCCCTAGATCTATCTGCATCTAACACACACTCTGAATGCCTCCTTACCCATGCATACCTTCCTTATATATTAAAGTATCTCCTCCAATTCAGACATGCCTCCGATGCACATGTCAACACCAGCAGGACCGGTATTCACTTCACCAGTAGCAATGGGTTCTGCTCTGAATCCAGCACAGGAGCTTATCTACTCCGGGAAACATAATGGAATCTACATCTATCTCAGTAGGATCTTGCAGCCTTTCTGGGACTGTCCTGTGTGTACCAAGTTTTCTTGTACTTCCAAAGAGGGCACGGTCACATATGTAAGTTGACCTGTAGATTGTAATTTTAGTATTTAGTATCCCATTTATTAGCACCGGTTACCTTGCAGCCAACCTTCATGTGGAGATGCCACAATTTGATTTGTTTGTATTATTCTAAGAGTACCACCAAGAGACAACGTTTCAAAGAAGACTAATGTTTTTAATCTCCATATTTGGAACCGAAAGGGAACTCCTAAAAACAGTTTCATCACAAGATTTGTCTTTCTGTGCGATCACAAGAAGAAGAAGAATCGCCAGATCTAAACAGAAGATAAAGACAACAAGTTGCCTAATTTATTCAAAGCAGTGTTTCTTATTGTGAATTTAAACAAAGAAGATGCAAACAGTAGATTGCACAATTTATTGCTTTAGCATATTTCGCTGTAAATTATCAGGTGCACACTGTAGTAACAATTGATTAACATGAATCGAATAATTGAATCCTGTGGCTGAAACACAAAATCGGCTACATTCAAAAACTGTCTGTTTCACCAGGGTCAAGGCAAGATTAAGGCCATGTATTGCGATTTGTGGAATCAACACACACACAGAAAAACAGTCAAGTCCAGAATTAAGCAGACAAAGGGACATTGTCTTTTTATAAACCGTCCTCCATAGAAATTGAACCTCGGTTAATGTTGAATATGAATTAAAGACTGAAAATAAAGATTTGATCTGATAATCAGGCTGATGAATACCCTTTTGATGTTCTAGTTAACCAGCAGTTTCACTGCAGACCAGCTGTGTATGACCTTGGAGCTCGTCAGAGATCTTTCTGATTTTGTCGACTTTAACTCCAAATTTGACCTAGATTCACAGACGGATATGTGAGTGTTATTTAGTGTAACATGTCTCTTTGTTCAGGATAAACATATCTTGATTTATCATAGATAAGTAAACTTCAAATTAACAAAACAAAAATTGTTACTCTGCACCGCTCATGAAACCGACAGTCCTTGGAAGACACGTTTCAGAGTTTAGTATATCTGTCCTCTGATATATGAATGTTATATAATGTGATATTTCTCTTTGTTCAGGATAAACATATGTCAGTTTGTCATAAATAAATGAACATTAAATTAAAAAAAGCTGTCATAGGTGATGAAATAGTCTTGAGAAGAGACATTCCACTGTTTATTTTGTCCATCCTGTTTTATAATCTATGCCGTGTGGCACTGGTACTTATGTCTATCCACAACCTTCTGCAGCATGGTGTTGGTAGTCATGTCTATCCACAACCTTCTGCAGCATGGCCCTTGTAGTCATGTCCATCCACAACCTTCTGCAGCATGGCCCTTGTAGTCATGTCTATCCACAACCTTCTGCAACATGGTGCTGGTATTCATGTCTATCCACAACCTTCTGCAGCATGGCGCTGGTAGTCATGTCTATCCACAACCTCCTGCAGCATGGCCCTTGTAGTCATGTCTATCCACAACCTTCTGCAGCATGGCCCTTGTAGTCATGTCTATCCACAACCTTCTGCAGCATGGCCCTTGTAGTCATGTCTATCCACAACCTTCTGCAGCATGGCCCTTGTAGTCATGTCTATCCACAAACTTCTGCAGCATGGTGCTGGTAGTCATGTCTTATCCACAAACTTCTGCAACATGGTGCTGGTAGTCATGTCTATCCACAACCTCCTGCAGCATGGCCCTTGTAGTCATGTCTATCCACAACCTTCTGCAGCATGGCTCTTGTAGTCATGTCTATCCACAACCTTCTGCAACATGGTGTTGGTAGTCATGTCTGTCCACAACCTTCTGCAGCATGGCGCTGGTAGTCATGTCTATCCACAACCTTCTGCAGCATGGTGTTGGTAGTCATGTCTATCCACAACCTTCTGCAGCATGGTGTTGGTAGTCATGTCTATCCACAACCTTCTGCAGCATGGTGTTGGTAGTCATGTCTATCCACAACCTTCTGCAACATGGTGCTGGTAGTCATGTCTATCCACAAACTCCTGCAACATGGCCCTTGTAGTCATGTCTATCCACAACCTTCTGCAGCATGGTGTTGGTAGTCATGTCTATCCACAACCTTCTGCAGCATGGTGCTGGTAGTCATGTCTATCCACAACCTTCTGCAGCATGGCTCTTGTAGTCATGTCTATCCACAACCTTCTGCAGCATGGCTCTTGTAGTCATGTCTATCCACAACCTTCTGCAGCATGGTGCTGGTAGTCATGTCTATCCACAACCTTCTGCAGCATAGCCCTTGTAGTCATGTCTATCCACAACCTTCTGCAGCATGGCCCTTGTAGTCATGTCTATCCACAACCTTCTGCAGCATGGCTCTTGTAGTCATGTCTATCCACAACCTTCTGCAGCATGGTGCTGGTAGTCATGTCTATCCACAACCTTCTGCAGCATGGTGCTGGTAGTCATGTCTATCCACAACCTTCTGCAGCATAGCCCTTGTAGTCATGTCTATCCACAACCTTCTGCAGCATGACCCTTGTAGTCATGTCTATCCACAACCTTCTGCAGCATGGCCCTTGTAGTCATGTCTATCCACAACCTTCTGCAGTATGGCTCTTGTAGTCATGTCTATCCACAACCTTCTGCAGCATGGTGCTGGTAGTCATGTCTATCCACAACCTTCTGCAGCATGGTGCTGGTAGTCATGTCTATCCACAACCTTCTGCAGCATGGCTCTTGTAGTCATGTCTATCCACAACCTCCTGCAACATGGCCCTTGTAGTCATGTCTATCCACAACCTTCTGCAGCATGGCCCTTGTAGTCATGTCTATCCACAACCTCCTGCAACATGGCCCTTGTAGTCATGTCTATCCACAACCTTCTGCAGCATGGTGCTGGTAGTCATGTCTATCCACAAACTTCTGCAGCATCGCCCTTGTAGTCATGTCTATCCACAACCTTCTGCAGCATGGCTCTTGTAGTCATGTCTATCCACAACCTTCTGCAGCATGGCCCTTGTATTCGTCTATCCACAACCTTCTGCAGCATGGTGCTTGTAGTCATGTCTAATTGTTTGTATATTATGTTGTGTGTATAAAAGTTCCTTATGAAATAATATGTTCATTGTTTGTATTCATAGTGTTTTGCTTGCTACATACATCCAGTTTTAACATATGGCTGTGAATCCTGGACAATCTATAGGCAGGCCAAACAATTTCTTGAGGCCTCAGAGATGTGGTTTTACAGAAGAATGCTTATAATACCTTAGACAGCCAAAAAGAGCAACCAAGAGGTTTTGAAAGAGGTGGGACCCTGAAGACAACTTATCACAGGCATCAGAAGGAGACAGTCATCATTTTTCGGCCATGTTATGAGGAGACGGAAAATAGAACATATTGTCACCACTGGAAAGATCTGTGATAGGAGGGATAGAGGAAGACAAGAGAAGATTCTTGACAGTCTTGTTGCATGGCATGGAGGTGTGTCGGCACATGAACTGATACATGCTGCAGGAGATCGCAGATTGTGGAGAGGCATGATCGCCCACGCCAGTCGGCAAGGCACCTGATGATGATTGTTTGTATATTCTGTTGTGTGTATAAAAGTTACTTATAAAATCATGTGTTCATTGTTTGTATATTCTGTTTTCTGTATAAAAGTTACTTATGAAATCATGTGTTCATTGTTTGTATAAAAGTTACTTATGAAATCTTTAATTCATTGTTTGTATATTCTGTGGTGTGTATAAAAGCTACTTATGAAATCATTTGTTAGTTGTTTCTATTTACTGTTGTGTGTGTAAAAGTTGCGTAGGAAGTCAAATTTTCTTAAGTATAATCTATTGTGTGCAAACTCTGTTTAAATTATGTGGTAAATTTGTCTTTTGCATTTTATGTTCTGCGTGTAATATATTTCATGCCTATTCTGTGTACTCTCTCTCTCTCTCTCTCTCTCTCTCTCTCTCTCTCTCTCTCTCTCTCTCTCTCTCTCTCTCTCTCTCTCTCTCCCCCCTCCCTCTCTCCCTCTCTTTGTATGTATGTGAGTTTGTATGTACGTATGTATGTATTTGTGTATGTATGTAAGTATGTGTGTGTGCATGTTCGTGTGTATGTGGATGTATGTGTGTACTGGGTGCCTATGTGTTTGTGTGTGAGTGAGTGATTAGGCTTGTGTGTGTATGTGGGTGTGTGTGTACGCGCGTGAGCGTGCGCACATATTTTACCACCCATGCTTTTGTTTTTGACTTCATATCCATAATATGCATATCATTACATGAATATAACATGCTTCATTGATGAAATACAACTGCTGTGTGAAAGATGGAAGTTTGGAAGGGCCGAATGTAAGACAGGCCTGCATGCCTAATTTGTAACCCTTTGAAAATAAAGTTCGTTCATTCGTCCCCCCCCCCCCTCTCTCTCTCTCTCTCTCTCTCTCTCTCTCTCTCTCTGTGTGTGTGTGTGAGAGAGAGAGAGAGAGAGAGAGAGAGAGAGAGAGAGAGAGAGAGAGAGAGAGAGAGAGAGAGAGAGAGAGAGAGAGAGAGAGAGAGTGAGAGAGAGTGAGAGAGTGAGAGAGAGAGAGAGAGAGAGAGAGAGAGAGAGAGAGAGAGATTTTGTGTATATTCTGTTGTGTATGTGTGTCCTATTGTACAGGTGTTTGTTCAGATTTTGTGTACATTATGTAGTACATGTGTGCTTTCTATTTTGGGCATTAACAGTTTCATATAATCTTCTTGTTTATAGTTTGAGTATTGGCCGAGGTCTGCGCTATGATGGAGGAATGGATGAACACACCAGAAAGCGACTGCAAATGGAGGCCCAGAGACTGGAGAAAATATCATTGCAGCATGTACAAGACTTAATGCGTAGAGTGGAGGAGGTCATTGGCTTGTGGCGGCTGCTGGCCGACCATCAGTTTCATATACTGGCGGCTGCTATGTCTCAGGTAGGATGCAGTTTATCATTTCTCTCTCCATTATCTTATTCTGATTCAAGGATCAAGCTTCATCTAGCTTTATCTATTCATGGTGTATGTTTTTTTTTATGGTGGTACGCATTGATACGCAGTACCAGATCCTTGTTTTGGGCATCATATTTTTCACTCCATCGTTACTGTGTGGTGAAAATTACATCTAGGTACCCTATACAGCCCTGGTTTCATGGCTACATTAATTGGGGGGGGGGGGGGGGGGGGGGGGGGGGGGGGGGGGGGGGGGGGGGGGGGGGGGGGGGGGGGGGGATGTTGGATATACTTAGTGCCTTTTAACAAGAATATTGTATAAGGGCTGTGAATCCTGGACAATCGGTAGGCAGGCCAAACAATTTCTTGAGGCCTCAGAGATGTTTTTTTACAGAAGAATTCTTAGAATACCTTAGACAGCCAGAAAGAGCAACCAAGAGGTTTTGAAAGAGGCAGGAGCCCGAAGACAACTTGTCACAGACATCAGAAGGAGACAGTCATCATTTTTCGGCCATGTTATGAGAAGAGGGGAAAAAGAACATGTTGTGACTACTGGAAAGATCTGTGGAAGGAGGGATAGAGGAAGACAATGAGAGAAGATTCTTGACAGTCTTGTTGCATGGCATGGAGGTGTGTTGGCACACAAACTGATACATGCTACAGGAGATCGCAGATTATGGACAGGCGTTATCGCCCACGCCAGTTGGCAAGGCACCTGATGATGATGATTGTATAAGGTGACTAATTCTGGATTTGCTGAAGTTGGGCTGACAGGCACAATATCGCTGCCTAGCTGTAAACCACAACTCAGTATGCCGACGGCCCTGTCAAAGAGTAACTGCAGAAGAAGACTTGGACAGTAACACTTAATTTTTTTTAAATAAAAATTTTTTTGTTTAAAAAAAAAATTGTTTCTTTGAGCCACAATTTTATGTTCATGTTTTTAATACCCCTTCCACAGGACATGCAGACCCAGCTGGCAAACATGAATTTCAAAACTCTTGTCATCAACGGAAAGGACGTAAGTGACACTTTACTGGCATGTCAAGAGTATGATATCTGTCACTTCCAGTTGCAGTTGTGTGTGATTGTCCGTTTGTTTGTTGATTTCCTTGTTAATTAGAAAGAAAAAAGGGTAGAGTTAGTTCAATAGCAAATACTGTTATCAGGGTACAGTTGTTTGGGATTGTTTGTTTGTTGCTTTCCTTGTTAATTTGAAAGAAAAAAGGGTAGAGTGAAGTGTTAGCCCCATTTACTAGGATACAGAATATTGTGTGAGGTGGCCTGTTTCCTTCCTCATCACCTTTCCTTTCTTGAAAATTCTAGGAATTGTCTGGTGCCCATTTTTTTTTTTTACTAATCAGGGTAGACTCCAGATCTGTACTGCTTTAAATATACAGGAATATATACTACAATCCTCTAAAGTGCTTGATTTAAATCTGGATGACTTCACAAGTGTCTGCACTTTATTTGGGATGTATAGGGATTGAGGACATTCAAGAGAACTTCTGAGTGAACATTGATGAGAGAAGCTAGAGGTGCCCCAATGAATTACATCCATGATATCAGAGTGTTTGCACAGGAAAGAACGAGTCAAGAATTGACATCACAGCACTCTGGGCATTCCTATGTGTGCTCCATCCTCATCTTCAGCAGCTAGCGCAGACTTCCAATACTGAAGGTACTGGTCACAATCTGGTTATACGTCCGTCTTTCCTTTCCTCTGAGTGTAGTGAGCCGGCCAGACCCTCTGGTTACACCCAGGTGCCTCATTCTCTCAGGGCTATAATTATCTTCTTTCTCTACTTCTTCTTCTTCTTCTTTGCGTTCACCAGCTGTACACTCTGGTGTAAAGTTCTGGTTGTTCGTCCACTTCTGGACTGCAGTCCTGCTCCAGAACCTGAGTGTTGCGTGTGCATCAGTTTTACAGATCTGATTCAATTGAATGCAGACTGCTGGTTCCTTGCCTCTCAGGCAGATGCACTCCGACTTCAAAGGAAGCTCCCCAGTTAGTCGACTCTTACGACATGCTTTTGGGGAGGCAGTGGGTCTATTCTTGTTTTTCCCACAATAGGGCCCCGGAACCCACACGGGGGCTTTCTCTACTGATTCCATTTCTTGTTCCCAAAGGGCCTTGACTGCATCTGCCTTGTAGGATAGAACGGAATGGAGGAGTAGACTGTGAGCCCCGTGTGACTTATAATAGAAAGTAAAAGTAAAGGACCTTTTCCCATGCCTTCCACCGTATTGGGTATATAGGGCTAGACCTGTATTGTGAAGACCAAATGGCACTTGGTGGGTGATGTGGTCAGCATCACGCCAGTTGCCGTTACTTCCTAGGACGGTACCTGATACCCACTCGAGGCTGGGTCGACCTGGAAGCCAAGATCATTTTTTGTAAAAAGTCTAGCGGCGCCCCCCCCCCCCCCTCCCCACCCACGAGCTTCCGATCTGCAGCCGAGCGTCTGGCCGCTGGACCATGGTGGCTCCCGACATATAATAGCACAGCAGCAAAGTGAATGAAAACAAAGGTTATAAATATCTTCATCGCATGACCTGGCTATAATTTGTATGATAAACAAACACTATTGTGAATACTTGTTTTTTTTTTAAATTTATTTTTTAATTGTTTGTACATTTTATTATCACACAGGTATGTAACACTTTAGTAAAATGCTTGATTAATCGCTACCTTGATGACAATGCAACTATTGATGCTATAAGTGCCAAACTGCGACAGGTGTGTCCATCTCTTTACAGTACAGATGATGCAACTTGCTCAAAGGTATATCTTATTGTCTTACACATTTTCTAACATTTTTAGTATTGTGTGGAAACAAAAATTGGGAAAAATGAAATATGTAAGTTTTACAGAACTCATTAAAAAAAAAAAAACACCAAAGGATTTGGTAGTGACTGACGTTCATTAGCAAATAAAAGATAACAGAAGACAGAAGAAAAAAAAACCACTGAAGTAATTACCTTATGACAATAAAATATTGTATAGACAAAATTTTAAAATATGTTAAAAAAAAGAAACAGAATTATATAAAATGCAAGACACTTACCAGACCACTCTGAATATATAATCGTTTTATTGAAGCACTCACCACCGAAAGGTGTGAGGTTCAGATTCATTCAATAATATAAAATATAAAGTGAAGAGGAGTTCAATCATAGGGTGAAGAGTACAGAACAAAGCTGGATAAAGTAGTAATTAAATTGGATGGGTAGAATGTGTATTAACTGTGTCGCCCTGAGAATGCTAAATGTTATTATGACCCAAGTGGCTGTTTGAAAGCCAAGCTGATGTCAGGTTTTTCTAAAAGCCTCAGTGATACAGGTCATGGCAAGTGAGATTTTTTTTCTTCCAGGTCAAGGCTAGTGTATTCTATTTAATGCTTAATACTATTCATGTTGTTTTATTACACCTTTGTATATCTTTATACATTTAGAATTTTTTTTTTATGTGGATAAATACATTTTCTGGTTTGTTGTATGTGACAATGTTTGGCACTGGTAGCATATATTGAGAGTGAATATACTCTATATGAGATGTTTCTTTGTGCTGATCAGGATTGTCTTTTGCTAGAAGGGATCTTTACCTTTCCTATATTATTCATCTATGTAATAATATTACTGTACGTTTTTGTGTCCCTATCCTGTTTTGTCCTGTTGTTTCCCAGAGAAGGGATATTCTAGTTATTTAACATCCTACCAGGAAGTATTCATATAAAATGTTGTTCAAAAATTTATTTCAGTCCAATGAGCTGCTGCAGGCTGCCAAAGTCAGCCAGAATCAGCTAGAGAAAAGACAACAGTTGCAAGAAGCCTTGCATCTTCTCAAGGGAGTCAGCCAGCCCTTGAACTTGAACATCATCTGCTCACAGCTGGCTCAGGTTCACTACTACCTGGGCATAGTGGAACTGGGGCTCAATGAAGCCCGCAAGGCTGACCCACAACAGCTTGCCGTTCATTTCTATCAGAACGGAGAGCCCCAGGAGGATATTCAGGGCATGCAGGCATACATTGCAAGGTTTGATAAATGTCTGTTTTCTGTTTACCATTTACACTTTCTGTTTTTGTGTGTGTTCTTTATGTTCACCAACTGTAAGTTGAGGCAGACAGTTCTAGTTGTTTTGTCCACCTCTGGGCTTTAGTCTTGTTCTAGAACTTGAGTGTTGCCTGCACATCCATTTTACAGGTCCGGCTTATTTATATGCAGACTATTGGTTTCTTGAGCCTCTCATGCAGTTGCACTCCGACTCTGAAAGAAGCTGCCAATTAGTCAACTCTTGTGACCTGCTTGTTGGGAAGGCAGTGGGTCTGTTCTAGTTTTTCCCACAATGGGGCAACAGAACCCACACGGGGATGTTTGTGTTCAGTACATCATCGGTACCATTGCTGATATGTGCAGGTTATAGGGTTCTGGACTTAGTAAAAGCTACATATAAAGACATGTTGAGTTCTTCATGAGGGGAAGCTATCAGATGCATTTGAAATTAGAACAAGTGTGCAACATGAATGTCTTTTTTCATCTCTTCTATATTTACTATCTGTATGACTGGATTATGAAGACAGCAACTGCTAACACCAAGAATGGAATTCAGTGGACCTCTACAAAACAACTTGATGATCTGGACTTTGCTGATGATATTTCTCGCCTGTCCAATTCATGGAATCAGATGCAGGATAAATATACTTGATGTGAGATCACAGCAGCTAGGTCTGAAAAATCCATAATGGAAAGACAAAGATAAGAAGATTAAATCAGGCAAATTGTAATGTGCTTCTCTTAATGGTATCACAATCCAAGACATGGAGTCATACATCTGTTTAGACAGTAATGTGGATGAAGATGGTGCAACTGACAAGAGATATTAAAATATGAATACAAGCGACAAGAGGAGCTTTCATTGCACTAGGAAATTTGTGAAGGTCAAAAGAAATTAAAACTAATACTGAACTTAAAATTTTAATTCTAATGTCAAATCAGTACTGTTGTATGGAGAACAACTAAGGAAACTGCTAATGAACTACAAACATTCATTAACTGGTGCCTGCGCAGAATAGAGGGAATTAAATGGTATGATAGAATCACTAATGTTGATCTTTAAGAGAGAACCAAACAAGTTCCAGTAGACTAAGAAGTGAAGAAAAGAAAAGGAGCTGGTGTTGGATAGGACAGACTTTGAGAAAACCTGAGAATAATATAACTATAATGTCTTTGCACTGGAACCCACAGGAAATAAAGGCAGACCAAAAACACATTGAGGAGGTAGCTAGAGAGTGAAGTTAACAAAAAAAATGGGGAGCATATTGGGTAGAAGGAGCAGGAAGAAAGATCAAACTAACATATTTTCTTGTTGTTCTGCAGAATGGAATGCTACCAGTGTGTGATAGACATACTGAACTACCTGTGGTCAGCAAGTGTCAGCCACCCGCAGGCACCCAGTGTTCCCCAGTCACCAGGTCCTCCAGCCACAGCAGACTCCTGCCGGATAGATGCCCAACAGGCAGAGCAATATGTCAGTTTGAAATCTTATACTCTTTTTTGAGTCATTATTGTGCTTGTCATCACCTTATCCTCCCCCCCTCACCCCCCCCCCCCCCCCCCCCCCCCCCCCCCCCCCCCCCCCCACAATCCCACCTTTTTGGGTGTCTTATTCTGCCTAATCCTTCTTCTTCTTCTTCTTCATTGTTTTTTTATTTTTTTCTCTTTTTCTTCTTCCGTCATTGTCTTCTTCTTAGTCTCATCTTCTTTCTTTTCTGTATTCTTTATTTGTCGTCCATTTTCTTTTTCTTCAAATGTGAATGTTAACATCTTTTTTTTTTTTTAAAGAAAGGTTGTTGACATTTAAGTGTAACGTTTTCTCTCTGTTTTGTATATGTTGGACACATTTGCAACAATTTATTTGTCGTCCATTTTCTTATTCTTTTAATGTCTTCTTCTTCTTCTTCGTGTTCACCAGCTATAAACTCTGGCAGAAAGTTCTGGTTGTTTATCCACTGCTGGACTGCAGTCCTGTTCTAGAACCTGAGTGTTGCGTGTGCATCCGTTTTACAGATCTGACTCATTTGTATGCAGACTGCTGGTTCCTTGCCTCTCAGGCAGATGCACTCCGACTTCGAAGGAAGCTCCCAATTAGTCGGCTCTTACGACATGCTTTTGGGTAGGCAGTGGGTCTATTCTTGTTTTCCCTATAATAGGGCCCCGGAACCCACACGGGGGTTCTTCTAATGTAAACGTTAACATCTTTTTTTTTTTTTTTTAAAAGAAAGGTTGTTGACATTTAAGTGTAACATTTTCTCTCTGTACTGTATATGTTGGACACATTTGCAACAATTTATTTGTCGTGTTGTCAATGCCATACATATATACACCAGTAGCTGCTGTAATTGTTTTGTTTAACATAGAGTATTACTGCTTACTGTCTTCTGTTGAATGCTGGCTACAGAATACCCTCTACTTTTGGGAATATTTTGTGTTGAGGTCTGGATATCTTTTACTGCGGGACTCTCATACCACTGTTTGAAAGTCTTGAGTATGGTATTATGTGCAGTTGGTGCTCCCAGCTTGACTCAGCAATTGCTGCAAGAAAACTTCACGAGTTATTTGTTTTATAGGTGTCCAAATAGCAAGCATTTGATTGTTGCAGGGGACTCTTGTTGTGCGTTAGTTTCTTTCTGAATTAATCAGTCAGGTGTCCTAGCCACAGTGAAGGTAGGCTGAAATGAATCTCCTCATCCTTTGAAGTCAGAGTACGTCTGCCTGATGGGTGAAAACTTCAAAGATCTGTAAAGCGGATGCACATGCAGAATGCAGATCCCCGAAAACAGCCAAAGTGCAGAAATTGATGAACAATGAGAATATAATTTTGGCCTTTGAACGCTAATAGACAACATCAATGGATCTCCAACATGACCTGTTGTTTGACCTGCAAATTTACTTTCTCAGACTGCTGTTCATTCATCTCTTGATGTTATCATCTTCCCACTTGTATTGTTGTCTGACTCTTTCTCATTTGCCTTCCACTTTTCTCTCTGTTATCATTTTCAATTTTTTTTTACCATCTCTTCCGTAAAATTAAACCTATTGAAAGTGGCTATTGTCATCTAACAAATTTCATCATCTTTGCTACCAGAGAGAAGAAATGTTTCAGACGGCTCTGCGGAGTGATGACCCCTTGTTTCATGCAGCTCTTTATGATTGGCTATTTGCAAAGAATAATGCACACAAATTGTTGGAGGTATGTATGTGGTGTTTGCAGATGTTTGATGTTAATTGTGACATATTCTTTTAGTTCTATGTTGTTTTTCAGATAAGTGTCCGTATATAAAAAAAAATAAACATACCACGAGCGCCATTACAAACTTACCTTTAGCTGTGCTTATACGTGTTGCAATGGAGGACACCTACAGAAATATGTTTTCAAAACAGTGGTAGTCATGTGGAGCATAATATGTAAATAAAAATGGTTTTTAAAAAATTGTTTATTTTTCCCGTGTATCGAAACTTATTGGACACCTGTTGTGTGTTATATTTTCTCCTTACCTGGCTCAAGGGGGGAAAAGAATAAAATGTCATAAATGGTGTCTAATTGGCTTTGCTGTACTAATTGGATGTGATGAGCCGAAAGGTGCAGATATCAGTGTAGCTAAACCACAGCACAACATGACAACTACACTTTTAAGGGCAAACGGAGAATAAGAATGCATTTTATTTTAAAGAATATTTAAATAATGAGTAAACAATATATTGCCTGACATATCAATATGTTTTGCCCTGCACATACTCCCCGTGTGGGTTCCGGGACCCTATTTTGAGGTGGGGGGGGGGGGGGAAATAGACCCACTGCTACTTCATTAAGCTTGTCATAGGAGTCAACTAACTAGGGGCTTTTTTCACAGTCAGAATGCATCTGCCCGAGCGGCAAGGAACAACCAGCTGCACACAAAGGTAAAGTCGGGAGATGTGAACCAGCGTCATTGCACACGGTTATAAAGTGCTCTACCACTAGTATGGACAGCGGATAAGAATTGTCCACCTGTGTCGCCGTTAGCACGTAACTCTATAGCTACAGCGAAGTTCCTCCTATTACCCCAGAGTGTCAACTCTGGTACTTATTTCCCAGAGGCTGGGTGAACCGCCCGGTTTTGAACCCTGGCCGTGGGCTGCAACGAGTCGCCGCTGGATTTGAAAGCGAGCCTCTTATCGACTGCGCTAATGCTGCACTCAAATAAGTCAGTAAAACGGATGTACACGCAACACTCAAGCCCTGGTTACAAAGCCAAAGTCCAAATGGACAAGCAACCAGGACTTTCGGCAGGACCTTACAGCTGGTGAACAGACAAGAAGATGTCCTGTACATAATACAGGTCTGATATCTCTGTATAATTAAATATAAAAACGAATCCTTTCAACTGAAATACATCTAATTATCTTTTTAAAAAAGTTATCAGTACTGTATTCTTTCTTAGATCAATACTCCATTTGTTGAGCCCTACCTGAGGCGTAAAGTCAACTTGCAGACAGACAACACAAGTGCCCTGGATATGTTGTGGAAATACTACGAGAAGACAGAAAACTTCCAGGCAGCCACCCGTATACTGGCTCAGCTTGCAGAGAGACAGAGGTTAGTGTTGTGTGTGCTTGTTGGGTCAGTTTTGCTTGAGATATTTTCTATGGACACTTCTTTTGAGTTTAATTTACTGGTAGTCCATTGAAGTCTTTCATTCCTGTCATTGATTTAGATTAAAGATAATAAATATCATCACCGACTTTCAGTTAATAACCTCATTTATTTTTTAAATAATAATAACAGAGATTCATTAAAGGTCAGTGTTGTTTGGTTCATCTATTAGTTTATGGTCTTTTAATTATGTGTCACTGTCTTGTTTTGTTCATTAAATTCATCATTTTCTGTTTCTTTGTTTTCTTGAGTATCTTTCTGTTGATTACTTTCATCACTGTCAGTGTATTCCTTTCACCACATAATTTATTATTATTCTACTTTCCTTTCTTCTTCTTCCTGTTCACTGGCACTAAACTCAGGTGGAAAGGTCTGGTTGTTTGTCCACCTCTGAACTTTTGTCTTGTTCCAGATCCTGATTGTTGGTTCCTTGCCTCTCAGGCAGTTGAACTTTGACTTTGAAGGAGGCCCTAGATTAGTCGACTCTGACAACATGCTCTTTTTGGGGGAAGGGGGCGGGGGGGGGGGGGGCAGTCAGTCTAATCTAGTTTTTCCCTCAGTGGGGCTCCTGAACCCACACATGGGACTACTTCAGATTTTTTAAAAATTGTCTTTCAATTGTTTCTTTCTTCTTCTGTTCTGCAGTGGAAAATTGACTGTCAGCTATCTCATGAAAAGCTGTTCTGTGTAAAGACCTTTTTATGAGTGAATGAATGTTGCAGCTAATGTTTCCTGTGAGAGAAGGCAGCTGATGGCATGCCAGACCTTCTTAGTCATACTTTTAATTTAGGGCTTTAAGACTTGAGATGTTACAGTATAAAAATTATGTGCTGCTTTGAACATATTACGATTACCAATTAATCAAGTGCCATACTCCACAGTAAACGGTTTCTGTAATAGATACCCAACACTCTCTCTGTTGTAAGCTCTCTTAAACTGTTGTCTGTCTGTTGATGTTGCCCTCCCTCTTGCATTGCTGTCTACCTTTTACCATCTTGCAACTCTTCCCTCTTGTATGGTTTTTAAAATTAAAAAAAAAAAACTGTTTAACTCTTATATTTCTTCCAGCAACTCTCTTTTCAGTCCCATATATAAGTTTGTACTTATTAAATTTATCACTAAACACTTTTTGTGTGTGTGTGTGACAGCTCCAACATAAACTTAACCCAGAGGTTGGAGTACTTATCCAGAGCTGTTATCTGTGCTAAGAGCTCCACCTCTAGGCTGGGTACCTCAGCAGCCGGAGAGTTCTTGCATGAACTGGAGGAAAAGATGGAGGTAAGTTTTGAAAGCCTTGAAAGCAGTTTAATTTCTGGTGATTTCAAGAATTACTAGTGATAACTGGTTCGCAAAGATTTTTGAGTCAATTACATGAACTTTTTCAGTCTCAGGTAGTTGTCATAGCAAATCTCCAAATTGAAAAAAGTTTAGGATTTGAAACCCTTGAAAGCAGTTTAATTTCTGGTGATTTCAAGAATTACTAGTGATAACTGGTTCACAGAGATTTTTGAGTCAATTACATGAATTTGTGCAGTCTCAGGTAGTTGTCATAGCAAATCTCCAAATTGAAAAAAGTTTAGGATTTGAAACCCTTGAAAGCAGTTTAATTTCTGGTGATTTCAAGAATTACTAGTGATAACTGGTTCACAGAGATTTTTGAGTCAATTACATGAATTTGTGCAGTCTCAGGTAGTTGTCATAGCAAATCTCCAAATTGAAAAAAGTTTAGGATTTGAAACCCTTGAAAGCAGTTTAATTTCTGGTGATTTCAAGAATTACCAGTGATAACTGGTTCGCAGAGATTTTCCAGTCAATTACATGAACTTTTGCAGTCTCAGGTAGTTGTCATAGCAAATCTCCAAATTGAAAAAAGTTTAGGATTTGAAACCCTTGAAAGCAGTTTAATTTCTGGTGATTTCAAGAATTACTAGTGATAACTGGTTCGCAGAGATTTTTGAGTCAACTGAGACTTTGTTGGAAATCAAGTGTGTTTATTTATGCTGTTTCTGTTCTGTGGTGTCTGTGTACACCACCATTGTAGCAGATTAGAATTGCTACATTCGGCCTGTGTGTACTTAAAACAATTTTTTTTTCTCAAACAAGATACTACAGTGATTAAAAACAGAGATCTTAGCGTTCACCGGCTGTAAACTGTGAAATCAAAGTTTTCATTGATCATCCACCACGGGACTTTAGTCTCATTCCAGAATTTGAGTTTTGCATGCATGTCTGTCTTACAGATCTGGCTAATTTGTGTGCAGATCGTTGATTCTTCCCCCGACCTGTCAACAGGTGCACTCCGTCTTCGAGCAAAAAACGCTAATTATTCACCTTTGATTCATACTTTTAAAAACGAACAAGCAAACTTTATTTTTAAAGGGTCACAAATTGGGCACGCAGGCCCGTCTGACATTCAGCCCTTCTAAGCACTCATTTCTCAGAGTGCCTGTTATCAATAATGCATGTTATGGATATAAAGAAATATAAATTATAGAATAATGCAAACACACATCATGTGTACACACTCACACACACGTATACATAACTCCTACGATCTCATACATGCACACTCATATACAGACATACGTAATACATACACACACGCATCTACATACATACACAAACATAAAACACATACACATACATAGACATAAATGCACACACAGAAAACACACACATACATTTATGGAGGAGCGGTGCGGCTACTTTTTCTCTCTAAAATTACGTCCCAGAACCCAGACAGGAAATTCTTCTTCTGCGTTCATCCAAACATTTAATTGTGTTTTGCCCGTTTACAACATGACTGCAATCAATCTTTGCTACTTTATTGACCGGGTTAACCTGACACTGGAAATTGATCTTCAAAACTTTTACTTGTGGACTTGGGGTCAAAATTGGAAACCAAACCCCTAGAAAGCATAGGGCTTAGCCATTTTGCTATGGAAACCCCAGTGGACATATTACACCAAAATATATCAAATTCAGTTTATGGGCCTAGAAGTCACTGAATATGTGAGAAGAGAACTCTCTGCGGAATGAAGACACAAAAGAGTAGCCATTAACTATGCAAGTTGGTTGACGGCAGTCTGCCAGTGTTCTTCGGCCTCTCATGTGCTGGCCTGCAATGATCATATCATGCTGCAGAAACCAAACAAAAATCAAATCAGTGTTATTGCAGCGCTTGGTCTATCTGAAATAATGCTCCAGCGACATATGTCAGCATTTCTGACCTCTAAAGCAGCAGCACCTATCACATTTAGCTAAAAGATTAAATTTTTAAACATGAAATTCAACCAATATTGTATCATTTACGTTTGTATTTATTTTGTCTTAGCTGTCTTCCTGGACCATCATCCTAATGATGAAATATGTGTTCATTTTATCTGTCAATATGTTGCTCTTTTTCAGGTCATAAAAGTGCATTGTTTTTCATGTTGTAATGTTTTTGTTTTGTTTTTAAAAAATGTTTTAGGTTGCCCGTCTCCAAATGCAAGTGTACAAATGTCTCTCCAGTATGGGGAAGTCCCCGGATGTGGAAGCTGCCAAGTCAAAGCTAGACTCTGAACTTTTGGACATCACTTCTGTAAGTTTATTGTTTCTGTGGATGTACAATAAGCAGCCCTCATTTCCTGGAGGCCATTGAGATGTACCGCTGGTTTTGGGAACAGTGTCTGCTATGACTGTAAAGTCCAGTGCAAGGGTGGCAGTCTCTGCCACATAGTCCACATAAAAACATTAAAACACTATTGTTCTGAGGCTGTTTTATCTCAGATGTCTCCTATCTGTAGCTTGCTGTGTTTGGCCTCTTTCAAACCTGCGACAGTCCGTCTTTCACTGTCTGCCTCCAGAGGAGTCGTTTTGCAGCTAATCTCTCCCAAGTGTCTGTGTCAGTGTTGATATTTTTCAGGTCATTCTTTCATGTCCTTATAGCGTAGCTTTGGCCTTCCTGCAGGTCTTTAAATGAATGTATTGATATTCTCCCCTGTGTGTGTGTGTGTGTGTGCGCGCGCGCGCATGAACGCGTGCACACACACACACATACATACACACACACATACTAGATTTATCTGGCCAGCTTCGCCCGGGATAGTAAAAGTTTAATCCTCCTGTCTTCTACCTAATCTTGGTCTCCACCGCTGCCTTATGCGTAGGCCTTGTGGAAATAGGGGTTAAACTAAAACCCTATATTTTATATCCCTATATTTTATATCCCATCAGTTTGAAAGACAAACAAATGTATTGTCTCAGACACATATAGATATGTGGTTTCAAGAATGATAACTGCAAAATATATGTTTACAAAAGGAAAGTAACATGAAAAAATTCAGAGGGATTTAACTGCAGCGAAAGTTTACTTTCACTGATTGTTGCAATAAATAAAGAAATGTACAGTAACAAGGGCCGCCAATGTGACTATTAAATTATAATTTTTAGTAATAAGTGCAAGTGAAAATTTAACCTGTGTATTGACATGGAGAAATCAACACTTCATTTATAATAAACACATGAAATACATAAAGGGTTTGTGATTTATTATAGCATGACACATGCACACGCGCACACACACACAGAGATATATGTAAAAGCTTGCTGGTTATTATTATTATGATGTTACTAATTTCTTGTTTGTTACGATTTATTTGCAGCTGTACGAAGACTTTGCTGATAGGTTTGACCTCCATGAAGTGAAGCTGGCTATAATCCACTGTGCAGGCTTGTACGATACTGCGCTGATTGAGAATCTGTGGCAGAACATTATTGACAAAGGTTAGTGAAAAGTAGACTCTATTGTTTTTTTTTAAATATTTACTGAGTTGTGTATTATTTAGGAGTGTGCTTCATTTGGTTTCTTTTCCATGCTCAGTCTACGAAGGCTCAGGTGGCTAGGTCACACCTGGAAAATAGAGGATGGCAGAGTCCCTGAGGACATCCTTTATGGTGAATTAAAGACGGGTAGGAGATGTCGAGGCCAACCTCTACTACGTTATAAAGATGTATGCAAGCGGGACATGTATGATACATGTATTGAGGCGGACTCATGGGAACAAAATGCCATAGACCGTGTTGTGTGGAAAGGGCATATCAGGAAGGGAATAAGACTGAAGGAAGAAATTATTGCAGAAAGGATGAGAGCTGAGCGTCTGAAGGGAAATGGATTAAACACAAATGTTGTTAACAATGGTCCTGAAATCCCATGCTATCATTGTGGAAGACTTTTCTTGACATGGGTGGGTCTTGCTAGTCATACTCGCCATCGCCATGGGCTGTGAGTCTCATGCCTCCTCATAGTAGATATTTTATGGAAGGGCTGGCTTCCGGTCAAGATGGCATAGCAAGTGGCTATTAATTTTCTGACCATCGTCTGTGTCGGACATCCTAAGCTACACATGATATGCGTAAATGAATCTGCTACCTGTGATCGCTGAGCAGAAAGACAGACTCATGAGCTCATGCTGTAGGATCCTTTACTACTCCCAGCAAAGATTATAGTTATGGCCCAGTGGAGCTACATTGCAAGAAAAACTGACCTTAGATGCATGATCGTGTTTGTGACCCAGACAGGACTAGATGTTTAGCATGACTGGTGTCTAATGCAGAAGAAAAAAAGGGACATTCAAGAGTGGTAGTTATGTTATACTGGATGTGATAGTCCAGTTCAAGTGTGACCTTCTGCGAAGTTTGAAAACACTGTGACTGGTCCAGCAAACCGACAGTGGTTTATTTAGTGCTCTTAAACAAAAAATCAAGAGATCTCACGAACCGACTAGAACTATATATGAAGCAAACAGATGCGCCCGTGCTAGAGGTCTCTTCCTGCCCTGACTCTGCGGGGCATTCTAGGAGTAGAAAAAGGGGGGGGGAAAAACAGATGAGGTGCTGGCAGTTTTACATGTACTATAACGGATTCTTGCCTTCTGCCCTGGGTTTAAATATGTTGCAACTCAAGGCATGAAAGTGAGTCCTTCAGTCCTGAAATGTTTTTAATTTAAGTTCAAGTTTTTGTGGCTGTACACCATTTCAGAGCTGGAGTCAAGCAGATATAACCTTTAGCTCTTGAGATCCCAAACAGTGTTGAATTCAAAAGTGTCACTGCTCAAGTTTTTATATGCTAAAGCAGCAAGTGTTGTAGTCTTATAGAGCTCAAAAATACAGCTCTGGGAGAACAAAAGTGTTATAGTAGCAAATGGAAAATAAGGGGTTAACATAAGACAGGAATGGGTTAGGAGAAGGAAAGAAGTGGACCATGTGTAGAGTAACCAAGGAAATTCAAGTGAGTTCCTTGGTACTGAAGGAGTCAAATGTGATGGTTGCTGACTTATGGCTCATTGAGGAATAAAAACATGTCGTAATTCTGACAGACTCTGAAAGCATGCTGAGAAAGGTGAAGACAGGGGTGCTTCGAGCAGAATGGCAAGCTTCACTGGGAAAGTCACGGGTAGTGAGCATACTTTAGATCTTTTCTCCATGCCGGCATAGTGGGTAATGAACAGGCAGACAGATCGGCTGGATCTGCACCACTGGATACATGACAAGGCAGATATGGTCAAGGCCCTTTGGGAACAAGCAGAGGAATCAGTAGAGAAAGAAGATTATTCTGGCCTGGAAAGAATAAGGCACTTGGGTGTAACCAGTGGGTCTGGCCGGCTAACTACACTCAGAGGAAAGGCAAGACGGACATAAAACCAGATTGTGACCGGTACCATCATTATTGGAACTCTGCCCTGGCTGCTGAATATGAGGATGGAGCATGCATGGAAATGCCCCTAGTGCTGTTATGTCATTTCTTGACTCGACTCAACTGAGGAATAAAAGACGAAACTATCTGATTATGCTAATAGTGTGTACTGCATATGTATATAACAAGCAGTGGAATATTTTTAAGGGTATTTGTTTTCTCTTTCTCTCTACCAGAAATTTCAAATACAGCTCAGATGCTGCCTGCTGACAGAGTAACCAACATCAGTAATAGATTGAGTGCCATAGCAAAACAGTATATCAACGCTGAGCGCTATTTTCCTGTTGGTAAGCACTCTCTTATTTCTGTCCCAATTTATGTAATGTTTTTAATTCTTCAATCATTCCAAAAAGTTTTTAAAAAGACTTTCAAATTTAGTTCTTTATTATTCAGCATTAGTCAAGTACAGTCTGGCTCCCTGGCCAATATACATCGTAACACCAACACTAAAGAAATGGAAACAGCCAGGTTGTAGGGAATAAGGAGCTGTTGTGAAAGGCAGTGAGAGAGCAGATTCCCTGACTGCCATTAGTACTATTGAACATGGGCATCTATGGACATGAGGCTAGCTCAGTTAGTTAAAAGCCTCTGTGCAGTGACCAGATGACAAACTCCTTGTGGTCTGGGTTCACGCCCAGGGGTAGGCAGAAAAGCCACATTTCTCCCAGATTTATGGTATCTATCATGGAATCAAGGGCGAAGGGTTGCACTGTCCATAGTACCGAGCCAAAGGGTTAATTAACAACTCATGGTTTCTGGATACTTGAAAGAAAAAATGGACATGAGAGACATCATCCATGTCATATGAGAGTATGCACTGTGAGGCTTTCAGCCTCATGGAAAATGATTCTTCATTGAATATACCGAATACCCTTGGTGTCCCAGTGGGAGCAGCGAAACAAAAAAAACATGCAAGAGCCACCAGTCATTACATTAGCCAAATCAGAATGGGAGTTGTTAGACTAAAAAGCACTAAGAGGCTTAATCAGGGAAGATTCAAACACTTATGGGCATGTGTGATGAAGGTGATCTTTCATTGAACAATGCTGACCAGACACTATAGGGAACTTTTGTTTTGTTCCTTCGATTGATGGACTGTTCAAAACATTCGGTTGTTTGTGTGCACGTCTTTTCTTTTAATGGTAAAATTATTGTAAAAAATTTTTTTTATGGTAAGACCAGGTGGAGGTTGGACAAGCAATGGGCCAGGCTGATATACTGAGTGCCCGGTGAGAAGTAAGACTTGCAAGAATCAACAAGAACAGCAAGTGAAAAGGGGTGAGGCTAGGGAAGAGTAACAGGCAGGAGGCCAAACAAGAATAATAAACCAGCACAGAACTGGTGTCATCAGCCGCTACACTGTGGGAGTTACTGAGGAGGTGATCCAAGGACATGTGGTGTTAATGGTTTGATCTGCAATGAGGACCATTTGTCTACTGTCTAAATTTTCTTTTACTTCCGTTGAGCTTCCTAGTTGTAGTCATTGTTATTAATTATTAATGACTTCTTGAAATCAGAGCTCTTCATTTTTGGGCCTCATTTAGGGGAGGGGGGGGGGGGGGTGATAGACCCACCACCCCACTAACAAGCATGTTGTAAAAGTCATCTATTTGAGAGTGTTTCTTTGGAAGTCAGATTGCTTCTGTCTGGGAAGTGAGGAACCAACAGTCTGCTTACAGATAAGTAATTCACATAAATAAACAGAGGAAGGAACCCTTGAGCCCGAAGAAATAGTATATATATATATATATATATATATATATATATATATACATATATATATATAATAAATAAGCAGACAGAGTATTGATTGGCACTCAAAGAAAGAAGTAGAAAGATAGAAGGGCACACTAGACAACATAAAAATCAAAAGCTTTAGTCATTATGCTAGGAATTTACAAATAAGCCAAATCTGTTAAAACTTCTTGCAGAAGTAGACGAATAACCAGAACTTTCCACCACAGTTTACAGCCAATAAGCGCGAAGAAGAAGATGACAGCACAATAACAGTCGTTTACAAACATAATGATGATTGTTATTGCCTACAGCTCTGATCCTGCGCTATCTGGAGCAAAGATCTTGTGAGCTGAACTTTGATCACCGTTGGGTATTTCTTTTACTGCTGGAGGTCGGAGTGCCACCTGCAAAACTGTTGGAACTTTATGACAGGCTCTACAAGTCAAAGGTAGATGTGCATACTGCATTTTTAGACATTTTTTTTTGTTTTTACCTAATTTACTACCTCCTTTAGGAATATTTGGATGAGAATTGTATTATCAGATATTTTATAAGTAAGTTACTAATTTATTTATCATTTTATGGCATCTGTAAAACATTTTGTAGGTAAATTACTTACCTCTTTATCATTGTGTTGCAACACATTGGTCTTTATAATACTGCCTAGGCTTTGTGCTATAGAAAAAAGGTGGGCGGGTCTTCCAAGCCACACTCGTTATCACCTATGATTCTCATACCTTCCAATAGCAAAGATGAAAGGGTCCCACCCCCCCCCCCCCCCCCCCCCCCCCCCTCAACAACTTCCTTGTGTGAATTACATGAAATTTGTTGCAGCCTAGCTGTGAACCGCAGCTAGTCAGCCACCATTTTAAGGTTGAAGGCTAAAGAAAAAGCAGACCAAAGCTACGTGAGGTCTTTACATTTAGCAATATGTAAAGTAAGTAAAGGACCCTTTTCCCCACCTTTAGGCCTACTGGGTATATAGAGCTAGACCTATATTTTATAGACTAGTCCACACCTTGTGGGTGATGTGGTCGACACCACGTTGGCCACCTTTACTTCCCAGGACTACACCTGGTACCCAAGGTCAATTTTTTAAGAAAGTCTGGTTCCGTCAGGACCCGAACCCCTGACCTTGTGATCCGCAGTCGAGCGTCTAGCCGCTTCACCACGATGACTCCCTACATTTAGTAGTAGTCATATAAATTGTGTTTTTTTTTTCTTTTTTTTCCGTTTAGGATGTTATTTGGCAGAACAAGCACAAACCCCTCCACCTGTTGTTTGTTTTACAAGC